CCTAAGGACAATTATGACATGGCGAGCGAGTATTTTGTACTTCAATTTTATGGCTTTCCGTCACTCACAAGTTGGTTTGATGTTACGTACATTATTAACATTACAGAATCCACATATTCCTGCCAGTTTTAATATGTATTTTGTAATCAACAAGTGTGTAACACCGGTCAAAGTTTGACACTTCTCGGGCCATTATCTCCGTAACCGTTCAACTTTGGACATAGGTGTTTTGGGTTATATCGGCATACTTTAACATAAGGAACACCCTCCCGAAGTTTGGTCCATTCCTCCTGGGACACCCTGTATACAATATAAATAATATACTATTACTATTAATAATATATTATTTATATTGTATGTATATATTTTAACTCTTAGAACATGTACTGTAATAGTGGCTTCTAACTGTATTGATGTAAAGGTGTCCCTCTGAAGATGGTCTCTGAAGACCGAAACATGTAAGGGCGTGAATAATTGAAATAAGAAAATCTTAACTAGTCACACTGAACGGAACTATTTAACTCTTTCCCAACTTGATGTTATTGTTCCTTTACCTGTATCTAATAGTAGGAAGTATGGGCACTGTAGGACAGTAACTGCCAGAAGTAACAGATGTGGCATTCACTGTGGAAGATTTGTTTGAACTACAGAATGTGCATTATTGAATCTCTTTGTCCAACTATTACAATGCAGATTGATGTCTTCTGGTATGTAATGCCACATGGTCTCATAGATCTTTACTGACTTGGCCCAGTCCCTGTCCACAACATATGATGCATGTCTGGACCTAGCCAGCCAAATGCTGCGTCTTTCAGAGGACAAGACATGACACTATGGAGCCCCAGCCTGGTAATGGCCAGTGACTAGGCAATACCTGTATAATGCGATGGAGTGAGTGATGGCTTCACTGGCGAGCCCCCTCAGAGTGGAAAGTGGCCTGGTAGAACTGAGTCCGGCGGCCCATCTGCTCGAAGGGCTCTACAGAGCCAAGACCACCTGGAGGTACCCATGATGATCCTGAATGTTACCCGCTGTCAGCAGAAGCTCATGAATGGATCCCACTTCTGACACCAGTTGTCACATGTCTGAGTGACTATAAATGGGGTTTGGATTGGTAATTGGATTTAATGACCACTTACAGATAGTAACTATAGGGCTATCGTTAATTCACGCTCTACAGCATGCACCAAGTCTTCTCAATTTGTTTTCAGTAGCCATTTCCTGATAATGGATGTTCTCTGCTTATGTCCTTACTGGCTGGTGAATCTGACAACTGACTAAGCTCTAAACTTTATCCCATTTATAAAAACCCACTGGCACGGACTGTGTACAGAACACCCACTCCTCATTCTTGCAGTCAGTTGTTTCGGTGGGATCATGTTTGCAAAGCCATCACTTAGCAATGGTCTACGTGCTACAATACTTCTCCATGTTCACCCTGCTCTTCTACCCTGAAGACAGAGGCAGCACGTTCCTCCAAAATGTCAGTAAACATCTACAAGACCACATGGGTCACATCCCCAAAAACAGTCACTGCCATGAGAACCTCAGATCTCACATACTACCGAAATATTCCCATATTGAAGCTACCTTACTTAAACATCACTTCAATGCCATTCCGTAACAAATGAAAGATTCTGTATACAGTACATTCAGAACAGTGCAAAAGTCTTGAAAGAGCCTCACATCATGTGAGCAGTTCTACACTACTAGTTCCTATTTCACCTTTTAAAAATAATTCTACAAATGCTAACATGTGAGGTTGTTTATAAATTCAAAATATGGACAAAGGAATAGAGGCCACTGGAAAAAAAATCCTCATGGATCCCATTCATCCATGGGTTGATGGATTTCTTGATGCTGGAAGCACCGCACCATTGTGGCCTTGACATCTTTATCTGACCAAAATCCATGGGTCTTTTAGTACTTTCTTGAGGAGCCTTAGCAGTCCTTATGTACCTGTACTACTGTATGATGAACTATGCCATGCATTTAGAATCATTATGGTAAATGTTAAGCAAAGTGTAGAATGTTTATGCATTTGGTATAATATGTGACAGAAATGTTGAGAATTTGCGAATAACACAGTATGTGCTTCATGTCTCATTCTTAAGTACCAATATTTAAGAAGTTTGGACCACATATTCTTTACACTAGATGATAGTACATTCCATTAAAACAAGGAAATTTACATCATATTGTGAACCACATCTGATCTGTTCTCAGATTTATGCTGCTACTTATAACATTCTTCCTTAAATAAATTACTTGTATGTATAAATGGCATCAATTATTACCATGCAAACCTGGATCAATGAACACATTTAAGCCTTAAAGCTGTCCTTTTCTCTCCTGATGAATCCCATTGTAGCAATTGCTTCATTCTGTCCTGCATGCTGCTGTACCGTTGATTCATGGACCCTCATAAAAGGATTGATCCGCTTTTCCTCACCTGAAGGCCAAAACAAATTCATTAAATCACAATACAACTTAACCCAGACATCTGGAAACTGGAATGAAGTTGGTGCAGCACATGAAACAATGGCTGGGTTCCCCAGTGACAGTGTGGCAAACCCTCAGATGCACACACAAAATGGGGTTACTTTCATCATCTCAGATCTGATCCCTCTGGCCTGTCTAATGTTAAAATTACACAATTGCTCTCTTATGGCAGTAGTGTTGCTACCTAAAGTAGGTGATGCAGGCTACCCCAGTAAGGTAGCCTTATCCCTGTAAGAGGACTTCGAGGCTCCCACATTTTCTAGACAATCAGCACACAGGTGGCAGTGAGGCTGTCAGCCTTATGTGCCAAGGTATCCCTGTAATGTGGAGGCCCATAGGGTTGTTGAGAAATTGAGGCTCCCACATCCTCTAGACAATCAGCTCACAGATGGTGAGGTTTTCAGCCTTATGTGTTGCCTGCTCTTTACCCTCAGGAAGATTACTGACACTCATTTCTGTTAGAGGCTGTGTCAACTGCAGAGCCAAAGCGTGGCTGAAAGGATTAGGGTTACTGAAATATCCAATAACCTCATCAGTAATTGAACTCATGACCTTCCAGCTTGTAGCACAGTGCCTCAACCAACTATGCACCGTGTGCCTGCCCAGGTTCACAGACAGTGACCTGGATCATTACATCATTCATAAAGTTACCACAGAATCTATTTTCAACATAGGATGAGAACCAAAACTGCCATACCAAAGATCTTTATACAGGGCTTTTATATCCGTTCGGTTGCCTACTCAAGGTGTTGGGAATTGTGGACTCGGTGCGACGCGATAATGCACACATTGCGGGTAACAGCATAGGAGCCGCTATTGCTGATAGGGGCAACAGGCCAGTAAACACTTCCCTGCGGTGATGCAACAGCAGAGGAGCTGTGCTAGGCAACGAGACAGTAAACACTTTCCCGCTGTGATGTAACAGAGGACGCTGCTGCTGCTGCTAGGGCAACAGGGAACACTATCAGAAGCCAGCTGAGGCCCAAGCATGGCAGTGTGTTGTGCCCAGACAGAGAGCAGTGGAAGCTGACGGCGTGTATGCCGACACAAGGCAGTGTGTGTTGTGCCCAGACAGAGAGCAGTGGAAGCCGACGGTGTGTGTGCTGACAGAAGGCAGTGGTTAGCCAGCACGCAGAGTTTGACAGTTCTACATTCTAGTGAGAGTTGTTAATACGAAAGGAGCGACTGTGAGAAACGACGTGTTCAACATTTTGTGTTATAGTTACTCTGAATTGTATTTATGGCATTGAGTAATTAAGTGACACTGCAAAAGAATACACTCCTCAAGGTCCTGTTTCACGACACAAGGTATGATGTATCCTCAGAGATGCTTAGACAGGATATATAATACACACCAAAAGCTACACACCCAGCCACAGGGATCTTATCTTATGGAGCAGAGTTCTTATCCCTTCCACACAAAGTGAAGCTCTGAAATACTCATCTGCTTCACGAATTTTACTCACAATCCAACTTACACGTACCACATAGGCCTTACTTTCAACATAACGTATTCAGGCAAATATATGCTTGTAAGCACCCACCCATTTCCTGCTTTTACAAGACCAGCATTAGCCATTCTCTAACAATAAGCACTGCCTTGTATCCTCTGCACTATGTGAGAAGAGCATGTAACAGTGGGTGGAAGCTGCTATCATGTTCAATGACTGAAAGAAAAACCTCTCTGATTTTAGTTCACAAGCAAACTATACTGACCGAGCAACCACCGCTTGTCAGCGAAGTTAGTGCAAACATTGGCAGCTAGAGGATGTCGCGTGGTCAGCACAACGAATACCCATGGCTGTTAATTTCGGTTTTCTAGACTGGAGCTGCTATTTCCTTGAAATAGCTCCTCAATTATTCTCAAGAATGGACCCCATTCTAGACCCACTTCTTCTCAGAAAATCTGGTAGTGCTGGGAATTGAACCCAGACCTCTGGATCAGTAGCCAGGAACTCTGACCAGTAGGCCACACAGTGAGGCCATAAAAACTAAAAGGCAAACTACTGTTTATTATCTTTTTGAACCGTGATGCTATCTAATAATATATAACAATTCAATTCCTACATCGCAGAAAACATACGAGTACTGCATCTTCATTTCAAAGACCAACCTGTTACCACCGTTTAGTGAAATAACTGCTGTTTGTCATGAGAATCGTATACAACGCAGATACAGCACGTGGGAAAAATGCAGTTTCATAATGGCAGCCACTACCACTGTACTGATTTTCTCTACTAATATCTGCATTACACTGTTCTTGCCATTCATGAATCTTTCAGAATTGGGTCAGCAGACAGGTCCAATACATACCAATTGTTGAGGGTACTGTTGGTTCCATTTTTGTTCGCTTGTTCTGGGCCCACGACATTTTTTCTTCTATGTCGATGTTATTCGGCTCTACATGACGGGCAAACTTCAGGTTTCCAACTGTGTATTCATGCCCACAAAACACTCTCTGAAATATTCACAGGAAGAACAGAACTTTTAACTTCTTCTATCCTGTCAGAAGGCTTCTGACATCACAACTTCCCCAAACAGATTTACTGTCAGACACCTCCTGCTTTACAAATTTAGTGCATCGTGGCTGCACATCAAGTGTTAAATCCTTGCTGTTTATACATCCTGATGTGTCTTCTGGTACTTCACACACAGGAACAACAGACAGAAGGAGTTCTACATATTTCCATTTACAAAGTGCCTTCTTTAAATTTTCATGCAAATTAATTGTAGTTGGTAGGGTAAAGTTGGAAATAAAAAGAATGATGAAGCATTACATACAAATAATTCCTTTAAATAACATCAGTATACAGTGAAGTTCAGAGATTAATCTTTTTCAAGCTCAGAAGGCAAAGACTGGCATTAAAGCCCACTATGAACCTTAGATGTCTTTGGAGGTATAGCTCCAGTCTTTCTTAACTTTCATCATTAGATGGCATAAGTAGTTAGCAGCATACATCAGCTATTCTATTTCATGGGAAAGAGCCCTTGGTACCCACTGGACAGGAAGCTGGTTAGGCCCTACACTTGGTCTGCATGTGGAAGAGAGAAAGTCTCCATCCTCACATAGAATCCAACCCTCACTGGTCATCCAACTCGGCCTATTCACCAAACACTGTCAAAACCTGTTTCTCTGTTACTCATTTGTTAAAGTTTTAGCTACTGCATCCTGGGATCATGACAATGAAAACAACCATATCCCGGGCAATAAATGGATACTTCTTTTAGTAAGGTATTAACAAAAAATGTATAAATAACACAACTTACTGTTTGATCAGGGAGTTTCCCCAGAGTTTCCACAAGACCTTTATACATCTGATCAGGGCTTCCTTCAAAAAATCTCCCACAACCAGCAACAAACAAGGTGTCCCCTGGAAAAATAAAATTATTGAATGAATTACCTATATGGTGTCCGCATACACCATCAAACTGAGATGATGCATGCTACATGTATATTCTGGGGATGTCCCCTGTCCATCTCCTCTCCTGCTCATCACGCAGAATGAGTGTTTCTGGCATTTAACGTACGGTTTATTACAACTGTCATACTCTCGTCTGCATCTGTTCAAGGGGTGCAAATATTTTTTATGTTTAAAGTAAAAGATCAACTTGTCTTTGTGATTAATTAAGCGTCAAGCCATGAAGATGTATGGGGTAATGGAGGTATAGTTCGACACAATCTTAACCCTGGCACTAAGTGGAGGTAAGTGGTCAGCTTCACACCCTGGTCACTTTATCCTTAGGAAAGGACACCCCCATAGCCATTGGATAGGAGGCTGAATGGGCTTCAGAGCTGGATTGGATGCTTCAAAAAGATCTTTGTCCCTGCAGGAAATCAAACCCTGATTTATTGGGCATGCAATTCACTATACTGAATGAAGTATCACAAGAATTTTTAACAGTTACAAGAATGAAAACTGACATACACATCAGTACAAATAGAAATCAGGAGTAATATTCTAATAAGTATGGTGTATGTTGCACTAATGGACCTGAACTTGGTGAGGGTTACCTGTAAACACTGCTGGATCATCGCCCGGTGATTCAACAAAATAGCAGATATGGCCTGAAGTGTGACATGGTGTAAACAGACATCGTATGTTTAACTGTCCAATTTTTAATTCATCGCCATGACCCACTTTGCGTGTAAGTGCTCCCATGCGATCGTCTCCTCCACACACTTCCAATCCTGCGACCTTCTTTACAATGCTCTCATTTCCACCTGCATGATCCCTGCAAAAAAAGTTTCAATCCAAGTAACCCATTGTAAACACTGCTCTGGAAAGTGGCTGTAATCCTGCCAGTCAGGAAGAAGCCATGAAGCACTGCCATGCTACTGCCATGCACAAATATGTTGGCTAAACAAGCCTGTCAGCAACTGACCAGTGAAAAGATAAAACCACACGCAGCCACCTACCTTCTGAAATTAAAAAAAATGTAATCTATTTCCAGTTTTGGTAATGTGACCACCTCAGCACAAGCATGACTGAGCAGCAACAGGAAGGGTGTGCCATACAAATGTGAGGTTCTGGGTAAGCAAGGGGAGGTTTTCTCATATGACTATTATGTTGGACACTATCTGACATGTACTTCTTTTGGCTTATTTTGGACTTCACCCATCATCCGGTATGTAAAAGATAAAAAGACAAAAAAACACGTTTTGGAGACTGGATCTGTCTCCGTCTTCAGGTGGATAAGGAAGGATAAACCTACTCACTTGGGCCCCTTAGAAAGAGCTAGTCTCAATCACTGGTCCACCTGAAGACGGAGACAGATCCAGTCTCCGAAACATCGTGGTTTCTTGTCTTTTTGTCTTTTACATACCGGACGATGGGTGAATTCCGAAATAAGCCAAAAGAAGTACAGTATGCACCATCGTCAGAATCCTTTCAAGACTATCTGACATACTGAACCTTCTGCAAACTGGATCCCTCATCAGGTATAAGGAGGCAAAGGATGCAAAGGATCTGCTCAGATGGGGCCTAGAGAAAGGGCTAGTCTTGGTCACTGGTGCAACTGCAATGCTGTACTCATGTGATGAACAAAACCACTGTCAATGATCTTGGGACTATATGTTTTCTACTTCCTCACTTATTCCTCAGATAAATATGTCATTTATTTTATTGACCTTCAGGGTAGTTTTCTGACATTTCTTTTGCATCTGAAAAACCGTCATAAATTTATCATTACAGAAATGTCAAACAAATGAACAGAAATCAATAACTAACCAATGATGATGTGTGGTTAGTACCATGGTGAGTTTGACACCGTGTTTCTTCACAGCGTCAACAACTGTCTCTGGGGCTACGGGATCAACAATAGCTGCCTCCTTTGTTGCTTCATCCACAATCTGTTGACAGAGAGAAAAAGTGCTACTACTTAAGGAAACAAATGGGGCCTCACTACAATGCAGAGACATGTTGGAAATCAAACTTGATATTGGTCTGCACTCTGAGCTCACTATTCATAGTCTGGATCTTGCACCACTTCAAACTGAGGGTGACATCTTATTGCTCTCTAAGCGCTTAGTGGGGGGTGGAGTCCAACTGGGTCCACTTGGCATGGTGGCCACTGACTGGCCTATTGTGCCTGCCCCAGGGGATTATGATGAGGGAGAATTTGGTGGAATGAAGATTGGCAGGGGAAACCGAAATACTCAGGGAAAACCCACCCCAGTGCCACTCTGTCCACCACAAATCCCACTTGACCAGACCCAGGATTGAACCCGGGCCACTGTGGTGGGAAGCCAGCACTAACCGCTTGAGCTATGGCGTGGCTTACTCTCTAAACAAACATGATATCATTTGAGCGGACAAGAACATGGTGTCACAATGGAAAAGTATGACATAATTTGAATATTCTTACTCATTGTCTAAAAGATCTCTTGAGTTGGCAACCTTATGGAAGAAAAAAAAAACTTGCATTTTCAATAAGATCTCTAGTATAGTGATTTTTCCAAGTTCTCTCTTTCTCTTCCTAGTATGGTGATTTTGGCAAACAGTAAAAAAGTAAATCCACCACTGTAACAAGCCAAGGAGGCCCATAGGGTTGTGAGATGTTGAGGTTCCCACCTTTTCCTGGTTAGATTATCAGTCTTATGCGCTGGCCCGCTGCCCTTTACCCCCCGGGAAGATTCCAGGTACTTATTTCTGTTAGAGGCAGAATCGACCCTGGGGCCACAATGCTGCTGGAAGTATTAGGTCAACTGAAAATCCAGTGATATGATTGGGAATTGAACCCACGATCACCCAGCCTGTAGCACAGTGCCTCAACCACCTTATGCTACTATGTGCCCCTGGTGACTTTGGTTCCCATCGCATGTTGAAAACATAATCTGCTAAGTTTCTAATAATGACATAATGATCTATATCACTATCCAATGACGACTCACCTTGAAAATTTTTTTAGACACAGAATACATAACACCTACATTAAAAAATATAAATATTACACTGGACAAGAAAAAGCATTACACATATCTGCACCAAAGTTAATCTGTAAAAATAAGACAAAGCTGTCCCTGTGCTTAATTAATTAAGCAGCCCCATGCAATGAAGATAGGGGAGTGGAGATACAGCTCCAGCATTCTTGACCTCAGCACTTGATGGAGGTGAGTGGTAGGCTTCATGCACCAGCTGCTCTAACTCCAGAAAAAAGAGTTCCTGGTATGGATTGCAGGCTGGATGAGCCCCAGAGTCAGTCTGGACTCTGTAGAGTAAAATCTCTTGCCCATATTGTGAATCCAACCCAGTGTCTATCCCATAGCCCTACGCTACACTGACTTAGCTGTTCTGGCTCCAAACAATAATAACAGAAAATTAATAATTTCAGTTCAGGCCATGCTCTTAACCTTTACTGTTTGGGGACAGGGTATTTGAAGCCTCCTGGTTCTATGTGGGGCTGACCACCATATTTTAATTCTGGATAATGTCTGACACTCAGCCAGAACAAGCATAAGCACTATTGTACAACATGCAGCTGATAACAGCAGTTCAAAATTACCCGCAGATTTCATTGGCACATAGTGTAATCTTCTGATCTTTATGTACTATGAGTTACAAGACTAATGAAGGCCGATGTGACTCACCAGGTACATATAATTATCCTGAAGAGCTGGTAATATGTGAACCTGCATGTCTGAAAATGACACTACGTCTGTCTGACTGTGATATCCTCGAAAGCCAACTGCACGCCACGCCGAAACTGTGGAAATATCAAAGCCATATTTCTTAGTTTCTGACTGTCAACATTACTACCAACTTCTCTGCATTATGGTTTATTAATTTTTTATTTATTTAACATCATTATTAGTACTTCAGGCTATACAGCATTCAGCAATGGCAATGAATAATGCAACTGAAATGATGCGATGGGACTGTGACTAGGCACTTGCCTGGAAGGACTAGAGAAAAAATCTGTCAGGATAGCTAGTCTCTTCCTAAATGTTAAGTGTGAGCACTACCTACTCGACCACTTCATTCAACAGGGGAAGCTCCTGCAGATCCATGTCCTATGTTTCTACCTACTGCAGGAAAGCTATACTTTTAATAAAACTAAAACAAATTACCTAAAACAGACATAACCAAACTGTAGCTCACGATCTGCAGCTGTGTAGTTCAAACGAAAAATATTAATCAATCGTTGTATACATATGGAGAAAAAAAAACTGCTGTGAGAGAAGTATATACCCATTACACTCCTATGTCACTGAATCCATGACCGTGTTTCCAGAACTTCTGTAAATTATAACATGTGGCCCCATTTTCCAGTAAGTATGGGCACTCCAGGGGCACGCAGTAGCGTAGTTGGTTGAGGCACTATGCTACAAGCTGAATGCTTGTGGGATCAAATCCTGATGAGGTCATTGGATTTTTTCAATTTACCAGCCGCACTATGGCCCTGGAGTTGACTCACCCTCTAACAGAAATGAGTATCAGGAATATTCTTGGAATGTTCTTCGGGGTAAAGGGTGGCCAGTTTGTAAGGCTGACAACCTTACCGCCATCTATGAGCCCATGGTCTAGAAAATGTGGGAGCCTCAACATCTCACAACCCTATGAGCCTCCACAGCCTGTTACAGGGATACCTTTACTTTTACTTTATTTTTAAGTATGGGCACCCCTGATACATAGGAAAGGAAGAAATGCTGTATCAGCAGACACAACTGAAACTTTGGACCTGTCACAGAACTAGTAAATTCCTTATACTAAAAATTATACAAGTTGTTGAGTGACAATTATGAGTTTGTTTGCTGTACCACTGTTACACTGTGGGACCTAAATCAATTAGCATCAGTCACCTTTGCTATCAGTACTGTATATTTTTCCTCTCATGAGTGTAGTTACAGTGCTGAGTCATGTGGCACTGGACTTACAACAATAAATAAGATTACAGTTTTCTGTGATGCAACAGCATGTGGTTTGATACATCAGATACAAACATTTCAGAAAAAGTTGCTGCCTCCATCTTCAGGGTATGTCATGTCCTATACTCTGAATATGGAAGCAATATTTTCCATGTTTCTACCTTTGCACCTCAAACTTAATACCGATATATAAAATTATGCATAGATTACATTCTCAATTGTTTGCGCCGGGCTACACATTCAAATTAACATCATATTCAACAATCTTCAAAATTACTGTGACAAGCACTATAAAATCATCTCGATTTCTACTGAATCCGCATGTTCCCGAAATGACTGCCAAATTTTGCAAAACACGTGCAAATAACTTATATTACGGTGTCTAGTGTCGCTATATTATATTTAAATATACTTCATGAGTAAACATGTTTTCAACTTCCGTTTATCTTAATTCTTTTTATCAATGAAGTGACCTTTGAACGCTCATGCATAGGTATCAATTTACAACCCACCTGTAAAATATGAGGCTGTCAAATATTGTGACACCCGTGTAGGCAATGCACGAAAAACAGAATTAAACATACTACTTTGATTAAGCAAACAAAATTATTCGGCTAACCTTCAATTTGTAAACGAATACAACACAGGTTCTATTACGAATATTTATCTATTTCAACATCACATATGCAAGAAATTCCAAGTTCTACCGCTTTAACACATTTTAAAGCCTCACCTCGAAAGTTAAATGACAAATATAAGTAGCTCGCTCGCTCAATTTGGCTTCAAAACAACTAAAATGACACCTATCTTTGGCGTAGTATACGATCAAAACAAACTTTATCTTAGCAACGACCATTTTCGATATATTGAATCATATGTATTTCATCTGTGACCACCCTACTGTAGATTACTTCCATAGATTGATCGTTGCATATGCAGTTTTGGCCGACATGAAACGTTTTAAAAGNCACATATACACGGCGCCAAAGCCCAGAAGACTGCTTTCTTCGTTTTAAAATATTTATTTTTCTTTTTATTGCTATACAGTAGCTTTCCTTTGGGATCTCCGCGGCTTAAGTATTTTGCCCATGTCTGTTAGTTTATTGCCTGCGGGAGTACAAAAATAAAACCACTTCGCCGACAAGTGGCGTTGGCTCGGTCGGTATAGTTCGCCTGCGGACTACAGGCTACGGAGTTCGTTTGTATACATGAATCTACAACACAGTAATCTACTGCATTACCGCGCGGTTCATAACATTGTCTTCTATTGTGCAAATACCGTTTTCATCCTAGAACACATTTTTTTATACATGCTGGCCTTTCATCACGGTTTGGTATATTCCCACATGGTGTCTTCTCCTTTCTGCAGTGATCACTCATCTTCACTTCGTAACTCTCGGAGGAGATTTCATCTGTCATAAAGCAACTTTGAAAAACTTCACAGGATATAACTATTTGAATAAAATTGCCTCATGTACACGAAAGCCAGTTCATAGGTGATGATGGGCATATTTCTGCAACAAAACATAATTCTCTTCCCACCTGTTCTCTTGTATTCCTATACAATTCAACTTATTACTTTGTTAACACTTACTACCAAAGAGAGAGACTCATGTTTTACCCAAAAATGAACTGCCTGGAAGAAAGGTGATAAAGACCCCATTTAATTGTGTTTACTTCAGACTTTAAGAGGAAACAAGACTGTCAATAAATGAACTCACCTCTGAAGATTATGTCTTGTGGAATGTTCGGTTGATGGGTACCAATCTTTTGTGGAAACCTCCTGCCTTCACGTTCTGGGTACAAACGTGTCCAGAAGACAGTAGCAGGGCATTCCTTTAAAACTTTTGTACCTGCCTACAGCTACATGGCATCACATAAGACATTAAGCCATCTTCAGTCACTGCTATTAGGTCCTTAAACCTCACACATACTTACCTTCACTCAGGCAGCTGGTTGCTGGCTTCCCACAGTGGGGGCCCGGGTTCGATCCCAGGTGAAGTCACATGGATTCGTGGTGAATAAAGTGACAACCGGGCAGGTTTCCCCTGCCAATTCTCATTACACCAAATTCTCAATACTCATCTATCATCTGGTGCTGGTACAATAGGCTGATGTACCACGTGGTCTCAGTCCAACACCACCACTTTAAAAACCTACCTTCATTCAAGTAAAGTTTCATCTTTCACTACTGCACATTTTTACCTTGTTATTTTCAAAAAGTGCAATTTTACCCCTTTTGGTGCTATGTACATGTCACCGACATTAAGTAATGGTGCTCATTCCAACAGGCCACTAACTTGCAAATTAATTTCATGAATGTTACATGGTTACTGAACTTCATAAATTCCTTCTTGACAAGTTGACTATTTGGAGATAATGTCTGTCACAACATTAGAACATACCACAATCCTATAAGTACCCAGATCTCCTCAGAACTTTCTTAATTATGTGGAACTAGTATGGCCACTGAGGACAGTCTGCACTGCAATTTGAGGAACATCTTTGTTGTTTGTGCTGGTTAACAATGTTTACTATGAGAATATACACAGTGTTGTCACGGTTGCAGGGCTTCTCTAATGGGGGAAAGAAACTGATGAATTCAATTCCATGCATGTTAAAGCAAAAATAAGCACATTTTCTGAGTTTTCTTTCCTGATAAAAAACAATATGTATTCACACTTACATCCTATCATTGGAGTGTGATGGACAGACACTGTGAATTACATATATGGATAATCCACCACAAATTCTACCTCATGAATTTTTAAAGGAATAAGTCTCAAGACTGTGCACTGAATTCATCTGAGGACAGGGTCCAATGGATGACTGCTGTCAGAACTTCCTAACATTAAATTTAATAAAAATCCATTCAGTTTTTCTGGAGCTGGAACACATGAATGGATGAAAAGCAGACCTGGTAACATTAACAAGTGCATTTTTGTGGCCTTTCATTGTGAACAGGTAAATGAGAGAGAGGTTAATTCTACCAAGATTATTAGATGGATGAATGCTTTGAGGCCTCATACATTAATCAAACCTTTAAATTAATGTTACATAACGGTAGGCTTAGAGAAAAAATATTACGATTGTGCTCATTTAAATGGATACTTTTCTGGCATTGCAACAATGTTCGCCATTATAAAAGGGATAAGAAACACACTGAAATGAAAAGGTCATTTTTCGAATATGCATATAGTACAGTAACTTCAGATGACAATACATACCTCTTGGGTTCCTGAATAACGTAAATCAGTTTCATTCTTTCAATTTTAAAGGCTGTATAGGTTGGAATTAAACACAACTGTAATGGGAAGTCTGGACCTTGGGCCAGGAACATCTTGTACCAAAGGAACACTGACATTATATAACACTAAACTGGTGACCTATACACAATGGGTAACGAACCAAACTTTTTTATTGTGCTTGTTTAAGTACATTTCAACAATATACAGGCAGAACTTGATATAATATGATCAGAAACTGTATATAACAGGTAGTGCAACACTCTGTGATACATATGCAGCAAACAAAGTATGAGATATGAGCCATACAATCTATGTTTTCTGCCTTCTGTTGAAATTTTGAGTAACCACTCAAATGACCTATCAACATGCACATTTTGGATTAACTGAACAAGCAACACTTCAGTAGAACAACTTCCTTAGAATATAAGTACAAGAAAATGTTATTTTCCTGATGATATATTTGTTTCATATAGATCAGATTTGCATGTCATCTTGCAGGAGCTCTAGGTATATTGCAGAAAAATGATGAAGCAACGATTCCGCCTCAGTCGAGAGCAAATAGGATTCTGTATGTGAAAATGGATTTGCTATTTCTCCAAACATAAGGCCGGCAAAAATAAAAAAACAATGAAAAAACCTCCCGGAGTAACACAATAACTAATAAAGAAAGAAATAAAAATCAAACTGACATGAGTATTTCCATGTAATTTCACTGAAACAGTAAAATTTGAAGCTGCGTCAAACTTTTGTTTGGTTTTCGTTGCACTGAATTCATTTATTTTTTATTTCAAAACTGTATTAAAAAGGATAATTTATAAACCCACGACCACCAACAAGGGAAGGGCAGCACAATAAAATTCTAACAGTGCAAGCTGTTCAATTTGTATGTCTGATCATGCTAGTCTACTCCAGCACAGAAACCAAGAACCATATTATTTATAGATGTCTACAACTGTTGGGTCTTGATTTGTGTACAGTTTACTTACTAAATCCACTCAATGAGAATTATACAACCTATAGGATTTTGTTTAAAAATAATACAACAAAGTAATTAATTTACAAAATCAGTTATACTGCTATAGAATAATAAATTAATTGGCGTTCTGAGTGCCATAACAGGAAGCGGATGGCCTTCTCAATTATTTATCATTAACATTTGGTGAACTGTAATACAAACTGACACTGGTATTCATGTGTCATCTAAGAAACTAGATTGTAATAATATATGATGATGAGGAACCAACACAGTATTTTGAATAGCTTTGATGTATGAGTATTGCTTGCTAGCCTGTAAATATTCTAGTCCTTAACATTAGCAAGTATCTTATATATCACTGTACTCGTACCCAGAAGTTTGCTCGCAAACTTCATTACAAAGTATATAACCTGGGCAAACTAAATCACAATAAATATAAATCTACCCGTGAAAAATTAGATATCTGTATCATGAACAAAGAATATTTAAGTTACTTATCATCAGTCCTTGTTTTCAGAAGAAACTACATATTCTGTAGCATCATTCATAACATAAGTTTCCAACAATTAAGTTAATAGTACAGTTTCCTGCATCATAAACTTGACCCAATAATATTTATTACTAAATGTGAATAATTTGGATTTACAACTGCATCCTCAGTACATCACACAAGAAATATTCCCACACACATATGCGTGCACATATTCTCTCGATCGTCCACAAATGGACGTTCTATGCCACGCTGCGTGATCGACCCAATTCAAGCAATTGGAACACTTTACTTACTTGTGGCCAGAGTGCAGCCTGGTACTAACTGGTGGGTTCCTCTCTTATAGACACTGATGACAGTACATCACGAAACAAAACCAGACTCTTGTGGAGGGTCAAGCAGAAACCCTTCGATGCCGGAATTAATGGAAATTCTGGCAGATGAGCATTCAACACATTTGAAATGGCTGCATATAAAAATTAAAAATCTGTTAGGGTTACGGTTTAAACACAATTAGTACAGTAAATAATTTAAAAAAAAAAAAACTAAGAGCCACAAAAACTTGGGATAATCTTTCACTTCTCGGGTCCATGTTGGGTCTGGATTGTTAAGGAACTTAATGATGGCTGCAGGACAGATATTGTATGGTAAGGTTATGAGTTATGTATTGCTGGAAGATGCAGAGAATGATCTACAAGAGCTGAAGATGAAGAGGCAGAGGCAAAAAGCAAACAACAGAGAACACTGAGCATCTGCTGTAATGGAGGCCACGGTTTTTTAGAGGACTGCAGAGCCAAGGATTACGTTAAGTAATTTCCAATACCCTCTTCATTTTGTCATGGAACAGGCCAGTTAGCTTCACACTAGTCAGCACATAATGTAATGGCACCTATAATATGGCATCCTTGATGCACCCATCGACACCATTACGGTTGACACTTTAGAACCATAAAAAACTGTGGCTTTAGTCCACAAGCAAACTATACCGACCTAGCAACTGCCACTTGTCGGCGAAGTTAGTGCCAACTTTAGTGTATAGAGGGTGTTGCATGGTCAGCGCAACTGATCCCCACGGCCGTTAATCTCGGTTTCCCAGACCGGAGCCACTATTTCCTTGAAATAGCTCCTCAATTATCTTCATGAGGCTGAGTGGACCCCGTTCCAGAACCACGAGTTCTCAGAAAATCTGGTGGTGGCGGGAATCGAACCTGGGACCTCTGACAACTAGACCACAGAGACAGTCTTTAGATACACAGACATGAACAAATTTGGTGGGTATACACCTCCATTTGTCATGAATATATGAACTTCAAGTCATACCTGGTACTGCGTGTGACATCTGAAGAATACTCCAGAAAATGCCACACCTAGCAGTGCAGATCAACTACACTGTACACTTGTCTGACCCTGGCTACCTACCAGAGATACAGTAAAATTGTGAGTCCACAAATTTACCCAAACCATTTTCATGATATAAAGTGAGGGTTGGTGTGCACTAATTCTGTTTCTACTCGACTGATTTCCATATTTAATGAAACACAAAAATAAGATGAGCCAGAGGGAACGGCTGGACACTAATCACTTAGCAGTGAAGGGGCTGAACCCATCTGACATCATATCATATTAACAGGTCTCCTAGTGAGCACCAGCAATGTGGCAATGACTCTCAGAAATCAGACTTCAATATTTCTGGGAATTCCCATAAAACGAAATGTTGCTCATTCCTTCCCCATTAGACTCCCCAGGGGTAGGGGCTACACATGTAATTCCTCACTGTGAGACCGGGGTTCTCATAGCAGTAACTATGAAGATGTCTTCTGGGATCTGACATCATGTTGCCTGACTGAAATTTACTAGCATTCAGGAGGAACCAACCCAGAGTAAGCAATGAAGGAGAACAACAAGTGATACAAGGGAACGAGGAAGGGGATTGCAGCTACACAGTCCCAGGCAGCAGGTTTCTCCAGAAAGCTGATACGTATCATATTGCACAGTGTTGCACTTCAGGACACTGTAAAAAGTAAAGTTGTTCCTATGCTTAACTAGTTGGAGCTGAGTGGTTGGCTTCATGTCATGGCCATTTTACACCCCCGGTGAAAGAGCCCCAGTAACCATCGTAGAGGAGGCTTGGTAGCCCCTAGAGCTGGTCTGGACAATGTGTACAAGAGAAAATTCTTGACCTTACTGGTAACTGAACTCCAACCTGTTGGTTGTCCAGTCCATAGCCAGTTGCTATACCAACTGTGCTATCCCGGCTCTCCTCAGGACATCAAGATCTGCACAAATGCTCAGTCTCTGCATATGGATGAAGAAAGCAATAACAGATAAGGAGAAAATGCCTCTGCAAAATAACCTCTTGGCAGAAACTCACCTGGCCCATGCATTTCACGAAAACTAGTTGGAGTCGTTGGGGTGATGGGATGAGTTGAGTTGTACTGCTCAGATATCTCCAACCACGTCTCCAGACGATTCACTAGCCTCAAGAAAGCAAACACAACACTCATCTTAATTTCTTTTTCATTACTGACAGTCAGTTACACAATGCCTCCATTTTCTACATTTATTTCCAATCACTGAAAGTTACAGAATCAGCAGACTGAAGAAAAAGAAAGCGTGAATGTCAAGTTCCTTTTTCTTACAGTCTTCCCACAGTGTTATTATAAAGCTAGCCCAATCAAAGTAATGACTTTGTTAAGTTTCACATTAACCCTTAGAGAAGAAAACAGCTAAGCCACTAACATCTGTTACTTGCTTTTCTTTCTACATTGCACACAAAACGAAACTAAGTTACATCTATCACGTGTCCTTGAGTTTCTGCAGTTGGAGTTTAGTGTAAAACTTCAGCATTTGGGAATGTACTGCATGAATGCTGGTTTTCTGATGTTTCGGCAAAAATTAAAGTTGCTAGTTTCAGGGTCAGTGAATTTGGATGGGGGACAACTGGAAGCTCTTACATATGTGGTGCTATCAAAAAGTTCCCAAAATTTGAATTTTGCGCGCAAATGGTTATGAGTACATCGAAATACCGCTAGGTGTCTCCCCACGCACCCTTCTTGAATCAGTGTCGAAAGCAGCGTCGAGTTGAGTGGTTGGGTTTATTGTTGGTGAACATAGTTCCACTGTTGTGTTTCCGTGAGTTTGCGGTTTTGCAAGGGCTAACCTGAGAGAGCAGCGTATCTGTATAAAGTTTTATTTTAAACTTGGGAAAACTGCTGTAGAAACACACCAAATGCTGAAGCAAGCTTTTGGTGACAACAGTTTAGGCCAGACATAAACTTACGACTGGTATAAGCGTTTCAAAAATGGCCAAACATCGACTGATGATGACAATCGTTTGGGACGGCCGTCAACTAGAAAATGTGGCGAAAGTTAGGGATCTGATTCTGCAAGACCATAGACTGATCATCCAAGACCTCTGTAACACCTTGGGACTAAGTTATGGTACATGTCAACGAATTTTGTCAGAGGAGCTGAATATGGGGAGGATTGCGACGAAGTTTGTGGCACGACTGCTGCAAAATGAACAGAAGCAGCATCGTTTGGAAGTCTGCAGGGAACTTCAACAGCTTCAAGAGGATCCAAACTTTCTTTCGAAGGTTGTCGCTAGTGATGAAAGTTGGGTTTATGGCTACGACCCTGAAAGTAAACAGCAATCTTTGCAATGGAAAAGCCCTTTTTTACCTCAGCCAAAAAAAGCTTGACAAGTCAAGAGCAACATTAAGTCCATGTTGATCTTTTTTTCTTATATTGACGCAACTGTTCATAAGGAGTTTGTTCCTCCTGGTCAGACAGTCAATAAAGAGTTCTATCATGACGTTCTAAGGCGTTTGAGGGAGAACATGAGGAGAAAAAGTCCAGAGAAGTGGTGCACGATTGATTGGGTACTCCACCATGACAAGGCACGACTACACACAGCTTATATTGTACAGGAATTTTTGGCTAAAAACAAGATGGCAGTCGTTTCCCACCCACCGTACTCACCAGACTTAGCTCCATGCGACTTCTTTCTCTTCCCCAAGACGAAAATCAAGTTGAAGGGGCGAAGATTTGATACAGTTGAGGAAATTCAAGTGGAAATGCAGACGATACTAAATACCCTAACAAAGAAAGACTTCAGGATGCATTTGAAAAGTGGCATAAACGCTAGGATCGATGTATGCGCTCCCAAGGGGACTACTTTGAAGGTGATGGTGCAGAATAAGATCTAGGTAAGATGTAATAGTTTTTATTAATATATTTTGGGAACTTTTGGATAGCACCACGTAGATCTCACAGTGAGCTACTAACAGAGAAGCCATGACTGGATAAAACAGAGAAGTGGGGTGACAGCCAATAAGGAGTAATCACATGGTTAATGAAAAAAGAGAATGAAAAATGTTTCAGTGAGAAGGTGCTCCTGAAAAGATATAATGAAAAATACGTAGGTTGTATCGAAACTCATGAGCAACTATTTTTGCATTCAACCTGGGAACAGCAGATGAAAGAGAGTATGGTGGTAGGTGGAACCAGCTGTTGTGTTAACCTTGAGTGTCTTGTGACGTCAATAGCTTGCATCACATGACCAGTATCACTCCTAACAAAATGGCCAACAACCATATGTTGTTTCGCCAGTGTGCTATCATTGAATTTCTTGTGAAAGAGGAAATCCCTGCTGCAGAAATTCACCAGAGACTTCAGTGTGCTTATGGAAGTGTGTGCATGGGTGCGAGCAGTGTTTGAAGATGGATGAAACATTTTAAAGATAGGAACACCAGCATCGAAGATGAGCCTCGGAGGGGTCGTCCTCGAACAGCCTCAACTGAACGCAACAAGGAAAGAGTGGATGAGATCATTGAAGATGACAGGCATGTGACTGTGGACACAACAGCCCGAAAACTTGGAATAGGGCACAGTGCAGTACAGGAGATGATTGAAAGCTTGGGCTATAGGAAAGTTTGTGCTTGTTGGGTCCTGCGGTTATTGACCGAAGACCACAAAGGTCAGCGAAAAGCCATTACCTCAGAACTGCTACAGAGATATCGACATGAAGGCGATGATTTTTTTCTCTGTATTGTGACAGGTGATGAAAGCTGGTTTCACCATTTCGAGCCTGAAACGAAACGGCAGAATATGGAATGGCACCATTTGCATTCTTCATCAAAAAAGAAGGCAAAGACAGTGCCATCAGCTGCGAAGGTGATGGGCACAGTCTTCTGGGATGCAGAGGGGTTTATTCTGGCCGAATTCCTGGAACCTGGGCAAACCATCAATGCTGCTCGTTATGTCCAGATGCTGCACAAGCCCCATCGTGCATTGCATGATAAACGTCCGGAATGAAACATCATCATCCTGCATGACAACACTTGCCCGCACGCCGCTGGCCTCACACTGGAAGCAATTGCAAAGATGGGGTGGGAAGTTCTTCCACACCCTTCCTATAGCCCAGATCTGGTACCCTCAGACTACCATCCTTTTGGATTTGTAAAGGATCAGCTGCGTGGACAACGTTTTGAGACAAGGGAGGCAATTCAGAAAGCAGTGTGTCAGTGTCTTTGGATGGCTGGAACGTAATTCTACAGAAGGGGAATTTTCAAACTCCCAGAACGCTGGGAGAAATGTGTACAAAGAAGTGGCGATTATGTGGAAAAATAAAGAAAGCTCTGTAGATTGAGGTGGTGTATTTGGTTTGTCAATAATAAAGCATATTACTTTACAAAAAATTGTTGCTCATGACTTTCAGTACGACCCTCGTACTTTTCCACCATTCAGGATAAGAGGTGACAGATGACACTAATCCTGAAAGTGGCAAATGAAGTGTTTGCTGAAACGCCGGAAAACTTACAACATTCCATGTGACATAACCCTGAAAGCTGATGTCATACATGAGGAACTATCATTTTCCTGTACCTGTAAATTACGCTGTTATATGTTGTCCTACAAGGGACCTCTACAAGACATATATGTTACAATAAATTCATCAATGGAGTTGTATTACTTTAGTTCAGTTCTCATGAAGCAATTATTTTCATCCTATAAGACTGGTCTAATGGTAGATGTCACTCTCCTGTGAAAAAGATAATGAAGAGAAGCTGAAGGATCCAACCGTGTAACCAACCGCACATGAATCCAGTATCAGGAGCCAACAGCAGTTGCTGCTCACACACTGTTTCACACATAATCAAGTGTAACCTCAATTAATTACTACAAGTAATTAGCCTTTATCAGCTGTGCATTGTGATAACATACACATGTTGGTCCAACTAACCAACCACTGGAGTTTTATTTCCTATACTAATGCCATTAACCCCTCAGTTTTAATCCAGATGACAACCCCATGGTACTGGACGACTTAAAATACCCTATTCTCTGATATGCCATCACCACTGATTTCAAATCCAGACGATAAAGGTCATAAGAAGTGCCCAGCATAAAATTACCCTGATGGCTCTTGTAGCATCCAATAATTCAGCCTCTAGAGCTTGTGCCAAAGCCTCGCAAGACTCTTCCTTGTTTGCCCAAACACCTTCCAGAACCAACCACAACCAGCACATTATGAGACATGGGGACATAATTACTCACTTGTAGGCATTCTGCCGGAAATGTTGCATGATCTCCTCCCGGAAGACCGGTGGAGGTTGCACGATTAGCTTTGTGAGAGACTGTACCAGCTTCAGAACTGCCATTTCATTATACATTCGTGAATTTTCCTTGCCTTGCTGTGACCCTTTCTGCTTCTCATAGCCTGCCTCATTAAAGTATGGCTCACTCACCAAGATCAGGCCTGCCAACATTCATCGTAACAAGAAACAAATAAAAGTTGAAGCTTCTTGTCTCCTATATGTTAAAGTGCCCTAATTCTATGTTCCCACCTCTTGTCATCTTTGTGCAACCTCAATATATATTGATGTTCACATATCTTCGTCTTCTTACTACATAACACTAAAGTTTCAGCGTAACTGGCCATCATCAGGTGTATAAGGTGTTGTGCTGAAGGAATCCGCTGTTCTGCTTTTCATTGTTTTATGTAAATGCGTCAGAATATTCAAGGTGATACTAGATTATCTTGCCTTTGTTATGCATGTGTCTGGTGTATGCTTTCATTGTTTTGCTGATTTATCCTTTTTTGTTCTGCGTGTGGCTGTTCTGAGCATTTCTCTAGAAGCAGAAGCTTGCTGCTGGTGGCCAGCCATCATGGCAGATAAGAATAGCAACAGAATCTAATAAAACCTAGAATATTCTGAAGCATTTACATCAAAAATGAGAAGCAGAGGAACGAACACAAGACCAGCATATAACTTCAACTCAGCACCTTATACACCAGACGATGGTCAGTCAGCCCAAATCATGTAGTGTTATCTAATAAAGAGACAAAGACATGTGAACATTAATATATATCAGCAAGGTGGCACAAAGATGGCAAGGAGTGGGAACACAAAGTTAGAATCCCCAGTGAAACAGGTTGCTGCAGTATAATACCAAATGTGACACCTTTAATTTTTCTAGTTTACCAAGCCACAATTTAAATTGTCAGAGCTACTCCTCTTTCATGACTAAATAACATATACAAAAACTGCCTAAGAACTTCAAATGCTGGGGGTAAAATTCACTCCAAATATTTCTCCAGTGTCCATTTGGGGTTCTCATGGCAGAGTACGAAGGCTTGGAATATCATGTAGTTCAGAGGCAGTCCAGTGTTTTGGGGGAACATATATACACCTATGAAACATACAGTGTTACAACCCCCAAGACAATAATCTTAATTTCTTTATTGTAGTTCAGATAAAATGCCAACAGATGTCACACGCTGTCACATACAACAAATTTTGTAAAAGTCAAAATTTACAACACTGATGCCAGGAACCTGCATGAGGTCAACATTTTTGATACTTGGGACTAATAAGGTTTGCATACAAGTGTTTCTCTTTCTCAGCTGTGCCCCACGGAACTTGCTGTCACGAGGCCCATTTGGCTACATTACATTCTTAGATGTACTTTATTCTCAAGGGACTGAACCTGTCTGAACACAATGGACACTTCATTCTTACTTCAAACATTTCCTGTTTAGAAAAGGCTTGTGAAAGAATAAATATAAAAATTCAACAATGGATGCATAAAAACAGATAATTTTAACTATGTCTAAATCTTTCTGATGACACTGTGTTACAGTAAATATGACTATTATCTTCTAAACTGTTCACTGTCTTGGGCTTCTTCAAACACAGAATTGTGGAAACTGGATCTGTTTCCTTCATCAGGGGTAAGGCAGGAAACGTTCCTGCTCATCTGGGCTCTTCAGAAGATGCTACTCTTAAACACTGGACAAGTGACAGGACTAACCTCTCTCTTCTCACGTCTAACGATAGCACAGATCAGCTTTCAGAAAATTAATGTTTGAAAAAACTCAAGATAATAGACAATGCCAAATATAGCAAGCAGAGTGATGTGTATGCAGTTACTGAGGAATTTCTTGCAGAGGTGAACTTACCTTGAATTGACACAATAACTTGAAGCAAGTTTGAGTGGAGGGTCCACACTTCTGTGCCTTTCCCACTCCATGTACCGAGCAGACTAACACAGACTTTACCATCCTCATACAAATTTGGGTTGAGGCGATCACTGCAATAACTAATATAGTGGCACAATGGTGGGGCCTTAGGATACTCAGCTGAGAGTTGGAAATCAAAGAAAAACAATCCATCTTCATATGGAGTCTTCTCTGGTCCACGGATCATTACTGAATACAAATCCTGGGAAAAAATAAAATACAATTAATTACTGACTTTCTGTTTTATGACTCTGTGTAGCCTGACATTTCAGTGGAGAAAAATACTGCCTCCATCTTCAGGGTGGCTGCAGTAACAGTCTAACCTTGCATGTTCAATATTTATAATTATCTGAGAATTTTAGTGGAAATATCTCTGGTTCATTATATTTCACATTTCTCACAGTTGCCATGGATGTGATATCTTGTAGTCTGACAGACTACTACCAATGCTCCTACAAAACACTGATGAATATCCATCACACTATAAGGTATCACATGACAAAGTCACTGCCACAAGAGCCTTGTGCTCCTCATATTCTAGTCAAGCAAACTGTTCCACACACTGCTGCAATAAACAGTTACGAAAGATTGGAAACTGTCTGCGAAGATCAGTCCACATCTCCGAACCAGGTCACAATTTTCTCATTCATTCTATTTACTTCTGCGTTACTAATTATACATCTGTTACGTCTTGCAAGAGTACCTCTCATCAACATGAGCCACTAAAACAAGAAGTGATACAAAAGACTTACCATTCGATCTTCAAACCCTTTAACCCATATACCCGGTGGTAATGATGATCGTAGAAGTTTGATTTCCTTTCTAACAGTCCGAAAGAAGTTCTGTGGATCAACTGGCTGGAACATAGTCAGCTTGAATTTATGGCTGTTGGGGGCGGAGTCCATAACTGAGAATCCTGCAGAATAAAATAAATACATATAGCAGAGACATAATGGCACTAAATTCATGCCATGATAATGCAAAACTTTCAGTAAACTAGCAAGCTACATAGAGCATAGTCCTTCGTCAGAAGCCGATGGTCAATATGATAAAAGAAATTTATACTTTTCAGGAACCCAAAATTTTATTACTGCGTTCAGAAAAGCCCATCACTGAACACTACACCAAGCCAGATGACTCTAATCCACCGCCCCATAATCTATTTATTTAATAATCATCTATGCTACACTTGGAAGTTGCCTCTGCCCTTGAGGTTTTATGACTAAAATTTTGTATGCACTTCTGATGTCCCTCATGCAAGCTACATGTCCTTCCAATCTTACTCTCCTTCATTTGATGACACTGATCGTATCTGATGTAGAGTACAAGTTATAAAGATTGTCATTATGCAGCTTTCACTATCTTCCTACAACAACTTCTCCCTCAATCTATGTTCTTCCTCTGCAGGCACACACCCACAAAAAATGAGTTGGAAAAACACTGTTTCATAAAACACAAAGCTGACAAGGTAATAAGAAAGGAGAATGAGGAAGTAAATAAAAGCAAGCACCGCACAGTCCCAGTGCTAATGTAGCAACAGGTAAAGTAACTGACTGTTCTGGATCTCACCTTCACCACAAGATTCATCAGCAACTTCCTCTCCCGTGTGCTGTACAGGATTTGCTGTCCCTCGGTCCTTGCTCTCTTCTGCAGGAGCACTAACAGCAGCAGAATCTGTGCTTGCTGCCAAAACTTCTTCCTTGTCTCCAACTTCCGCAGACTTGATACCCGTGGGCTGATTCTGAGATGGCACCATCTGTCCCCCTCCTAGTCTGGACAGCGCATGGAACATGTCCTTCAAACCATCCTTCACCTTCTCCGACAGCGGTGGCAGTTCTGCAGCTGCTGAAGGTTCTGAATGTGTTGTTTCAGGCATATCCCACAGCGGCTCTGGCTTCCTGCTCTCTGTCGGAACATGAGTTTCTCTGCCCTGGTTTTTACCTGCAGGTACATCTGTTTTGCATCCGCCTTCCTCGGCTTCATTCTCGTCTTTATGGCTGCCATTATCAACTGGAAATCGAGTATTGAACGCATCACTTAGAGTCATAAGACCCTGATTGCCACCGAATCGACGTGTAACTTCTCCGTGAGCTTTAACGAGCTGAGCCTTGATCAGAGAACAAAGTTTCACACACACATGAGAATTGGACACCAAGGAAAGGGACAAGGGGGAACCGCCCGCAGTTCCCGCCAATGCTCCACTGACATCTGATAACCGCCTAGAATTGTGAGGCTCAGAAGCAGTTGCTACAGGGGCAGCTGAATTTGTGGATGTGGAATGCCTGCCTTTCGCAGACACAACTGGAGAACCATAACACCCATTATGTTTGGTGGCATTACTCGTGACTCCACCACCCCTCTCATCATTCTGTGCGTGCAACTTGTTGTTACTGTAGTTCCCGTTACTTCTCTGTCCAATGCTTCCGCTTGATTTGCTAGTAGCTGTACAGTGTGGCTCTGTCACAATCTCCCTCAAAACATCATCAGACTCGTGGAGATTGCTGCAGTTGTGATTATTTGCAGCAGTGATGACATGTCGTTCTAGATTTACCAAGTTTTCACTGAGAAGAAACTCTCTTGATGGAAGTGAGTCATTGTTGGCAATACTGCCGCTACTCCTATCCTTATTTACAGTAGATGCAGGGATGTTACAGTCATCAACGGTCACCCCCTGACCACCAATCCTATGAGCACTGTACTCCGATAAGTAAACACAGTTCACTTCATTGGTTCCACTCTGTCTACCCCCCACTTCCAAAGTACTTACGTCAGATGCACTCTGTATCACACCTTCTTGCTTTCTGACCACACCCATTTCAGAATGTTTACCACTTCCTGCTGGATCGGAGACTTTATTGCTGAATGTAGTCTCTTCAAGAGAATTGGTACATGTCACAAGACTGGGATGAACATTATTAACATCTGACTGATGGAACAGTCTACTGACTTGATCAGCCACCCTCTGGGCCACATTGGCACGTCCACGCTCCCTTACACGCTCCAGAAGACCTTGGAAGTGCCTCTCATGGAAAAATGAAGTTCCCATCAGTTTGTCCAAGTACCTGACGACAGATGAACACATCAGAAGGTTCACACAGACCTTGAACTAAAAACATGAGACTGCTTCATTTAGAACTGTCAGTACACATACAAATGCTATCACACAAAACTGTCAAAACTGCATCTCACAATGAAGCAGGCATCACTGCACACATTTTAGAGGCTTGTATTACAAAATAATAATAACAATATTACACTAATAATAGTGTACAGCACTGATTTCCTCCTTAGCGTAAAGTAGGGTGACTTCTGTGTATTTCCATGTGTGGATTATAAAAACGTTCCTGACAACACTTTCCTTGTATTATCATTTCCTTTGAAAATTATTTTTTGCGATTTCTTTGAAATATATAAAAATGTGCAACATTTCAACATTAACTAATGATACAAATATATTGAATGGGTCCTTAACTACAGCACTGTCTGAACAACCACCCAACTGCATGGAGCAGGCTTCCTCATGATGCTACTGGTCACTCTGCTGCTTCAGAAATTCCCCACATCCTCTTACGGAACCCGAAGCAAGCTGTCTCCAGGAAGGAGAGTCCTTCTTGAGAAGGTAAGCCACTAGACAGGTTGGTTTGCAGTTAGTGCTCTATGGCTTGTATCCGGAAGGTGCTTGGTTCAAAATCTTCACTGGAACACTGGTTATCCTGACCGGTTTTCCTCAATCTCTAAAGACAAATCTTGATTAGGCCACGACTGCTTCCAAGTCCTTTCCGATTCATAATTTATCTACCATCCTAATATCCACCATACGGTATCAATACTGAGAAAGTACTGCTGAATAACCCACGGGGGAAAAACTACATCACTCGGCTAGTCACGTAACTCAGAAGGTGTAGTACCATGTTCTAAATTGCCTGCCACTCGTATATATCCTCAGACACATGAATCCAGTCCACGCCCTCCCATCCCACATCTTCCAGGCTGATTTTAATACTGTTCTCCCAGTGGTCTCTTCTTTCTAGGGTCTACATGTCGCAATACAGACTTCTGATCCCTCCTTTGTATGATACATGCCGCAACCATCTCGTCCTCCCAAACTCACTGTTCACATGACATTCTTAGTCCAAAGCAACTAACCTGCAGTCCTTATAAACATCAAGCAACTGTCGCATGACACTTGTTGTCTGCAGTGATGGGTTCTGAGTGAAGATCTCTTCCAGGCGAGACATGGCAATGCGAGCCTTCTCTATGTTTGCAGCTAATTTTGGCTTCAGCATTTCTTCTAAATCTTCTTCAGGACATCTGCAGAAACAAAAATAACTTTTTTTTATTGGTAGTGGGGTGGGACCAAGTCCCTTGTACTGCAGCCACTTCTGGCCTATTGTACCAGCCCACGATAAGTGAGGGTGATTGTGGAGCAATTGGTGGAATGAAGATTGGCAGGGGAAACCAAAGTACTCTGAGAAAACCTGCCCCAGTGCCACTTTGTCCACCACAAATCCCACTTGAACAGACCCGGGATCAATCTCGGGCTGCCGTGGTGGGAAGCCAGCCAGCGACTAACGTGCTCTAGTGCTCAGTTCACACAGGTAGACACACCCAGTCTTCACCTGGAATGTGGCTGCTTTCCTTGACATCATAACCCACAGCAGCCATATTGCTTCAAGGGTAATGGCTAGTGTACACACTGGCAAGAGCACGAAGTCAAGGTGGGAAACAGGACAGACAACAAAGTTGTGCACCTACATGTACACGTACACACACACACACACATGCAGATTAGATAGCCACTACTGACATCTAAGAACTTAAATTCTGTAGCTTTATTATAAATTCAGACCATACTAAGACCAAAAAAAGAAGTACAACTGCAATCTTCCATCATATTAATACGCAGAGGCTGCATATTTTTCAGAATGACAGACGCTACATTGTCACTGTACACATTCATACTGTACGGACCCAGATGTGTACTATGGCTATGAACTAAACAATTCCCATCTATAGCTACAGTTCCCACAGATCCACTCTCATAAACATTAAATGACAATTTCACCGCAAATGCGAACTACCAACATCAACGTTATTTCAGTCCGCAAGCGAACTATCCTGACCGAGTGACTGCCGCTTGTTGGACAAGTTAGTGCCAACTTAAGCGGATAGAAGGTGTCGCGTGGTCAGCACAACAAATCCCCACGGCTGTTAATTTCGGTTTTCTAGACTGGAACTGCTATTTCCTTGAAATAGCTCCTCAATTATCTTCACGTGGCTGAGTGGACCGCGTTCCAGACCAACTACTTCTCAGAAAAAAAATCTGGTAGCGCCGGGAATCGAACCCGGACCTCTGGATCTGTAGCCAGGAACTCTGACCACTACACCACAGACGTGCAATGTAAATTTGTTTTCAGAAAAGGTCAAGACTGCAAATGTTATCGGGTGAAAAATCCTACAAGAACTTACACAGCATTGTATTCAGGATATCATTCGGGCACTCGAACAGGGCTTATGCTTCTATATACAGCTATACACACAAGTTAAATGAGACAATGGATGAAGTCCAACTAAAGTACCACAGTAACAAGTAATTTACATTCTTTCCTAAAAGTAAACAGGCCACTTTTCACACCAACACAAAAACTGGCAGAAATGCTTTCTATGCCCTAATCCTAATCAGATTAGTTGACAACAGTTTTCAGAGTTCATAACAATCATTTCCACACCATATTCCCATTTTAATTTCATCATGAACCTGTTCAGTTGACAAAGACTCTGAGTTTAAAATTTCTTTGTTGAAATGGTCTATAACTTACAGTTACATCAACCTGTAAACTTTCTAATACAATACAAGGAAGTGTGTAATAGGACATACATATCATCGGCAATAACACAGTCCTCTGATTCTGTTTCCCATGAGGCATCACTGCTACCATCATCCCACAGTTCACCTTCATCACTGTCATACTCGCCAACCTTGTACAAATCCTGAGGCCATGACATTGAAACGTGTCCATCCACCCACCAAACACGCACCTGTCAACACAGAAAGTGATCCTGCTGCAGACAGACACTGAACACCTGGGATCAGATGCCATAATCACCATATGACACAAATAAATCACCACTTATCAGAAATGACAAATACCAACAAATTCATTCTTAAAACTTTCTTTCTGAGGAACTGAGACAACATAGGGTACTAGCATTTTGAAGGATTTCGTTAGAAATTGTAATTAAAATTCTCACCATTCCTTCTGGGTAATTATCCAAAACTTGACCAGCTGTACAGTTCGCATCTTCTCCCTCAAAGTTGGCGACCCTGATCACAACTGTGCCTGGGCGATACTGGAAGTCAGGGTGATCCTTCAGGTCATACACACTGACTTCATTTGCTTCCAACATTGCAGGGCTGAAAATTACCAACAGTTAAATATTTACAGAATGCTGAGAGAAATTTACAAATACAGGTTTGATAGGGGTGCATGTGTGTAGTACAGTAGAGCATACAGAAGCAGACTGCTACAGACCTTGTGAATACAGAAAACAGCAGCACTCTTTATGAGATTTTAGGCTTGCACAACATTGGATAGACTTGAGGATTCTTGCGATGGTGTATACTGTACTTCTTCTGGCTTATTTTGGACTTCATCCATCGTCTGGTATGTAAAAGACAAAAGACCACGACGTTTCGGAGACTGGATCTGTCTCCATCTTCAGGTGGATAGGGAAGGATAAACCTACTCAGTTGGGCCCGTTAGAAAGAGCTAGTCTCAATCACCGCAGCGTCAGTAGTGTCCTCTTGGTGTGACGGCACAATTCAGTGGATATTTACCAGTATTTTGGAGGAAGCTGCTGCCTCCATCTTCCTTGAAGTTATTTACAATTTTTTTCCTGAAGATGGAAGTAGTTCCTCCCAGAACGCTCGTAATATCTACCAGAGTAGATACCCCATTCCACAACACAATAATCTTAACAGTGCTTTTATAATTACAAACAGTAAGACTTACCAAGGCTCCTCTTGAGAGGTGTAAGTTTTAAACCATTTTACTGTGGCTGTTCTTCCGGCATGGTCGACACTCTGAACCACGCCATACACCCTCATGCAGCTTTCTTCCTTGTTCTCAATAACAAAGTCACCAGGAAAAAATTCTTGATCATCCAGATGGTGGATGGGATAAAGCTGAGTTGATGGAATCCCATACTCAACTGAACCATCCTACCATGAAATAAAGATAATTATCATCACAGTACAGAGTGAATTTGTCTCTTTGCCTAATTAAACAGCACACTATGAAGATGTATGGGCAGTGGAGGTATGGCTCCATGCATTCTTAACCTTGGCACTAGATGGAGGTGTGTGGTTGGCTTCATGCACCACCCTCTTTACAACATTACCCATGGCACACACTACAGCCAGTCTGCAGGCAGTGGCAAAGAGGAAACTCTTTGCCTCTGTCAGGAATCAAACCCAGCCCTTCAAGTACATACCCCAGTTGCTGCTGTACTGACTATGCTACCTTAGCTCCTCACAGAATAAGCACTGGAGACAGCAACATCTAGGTTGACAAAATTTAATATAGGTCCACCATTCCGAGTTTCACTGAAAGCAGTCTGTAGAAGTCAGGCCTTGTTATAAGGCAACCGACAGACATAGCAAGACAAGCATTTTGGTTTCTACATCATTTCTTTTAAACATGAAAAAACAGGAAGAAATAGAATTTTGATGAGACATGAATTACTATAATTCAAGGCAAATGCTGGGTAGGTTTTCATTGTAATAACACTATGCTCAAGGTTCACAGAATTCAGATTATATCAAATTAAAGGGTTGACTGTTAAACTATCCTCATTTGCTCTCTGTCATGACACCTTTCACAGATGGGACAATCTACCAGTTGACTTCACAGACCATGCCCTTACCTGCCAGACAACATCAGCAATGGATGAAGTGGACAGTGTCTCGACCACAACTTTCTGTCCTGGCTGCAAAGTGACAGGAGGGGCTCGTTTCCTCGTTCTACGTAGCTTCTTCTTTTTCAGAACTTTCGTCATCAGAGCTGGTCCTCGTTTCTTCTTTCCTGCAGATCACACAACAAAATAAATTATCTGAATCACAGGAAATACAGACATCTAAGCACAATTTTAAAGATAGCTCATGTTTCATGCAGCCAGCACCACATATGCAAACTTCTAGACATTCAGACTTGTCTGATCATAAAGTATATACTGGGGCTGTGTCTCACCCTGTGATCCGACACTACTGCAACCACTGCTAATGGAGGCCGTATCAGACATGCTTCCGGTGTCCTCTGTGTCCCAGTCCTCCAGGTGGTCACCACCCGCATTCACATCAGATCCTGGCATGGGACTCCCATTCGTCACTTCAACTGTTGGGACTGCTGGATGCAGAACCATCACAGAGTGCGTATTGCTAACAGTGCCCTGAACATCGGTATTTGGCACAGCAACCTGGTTGGTAGATTCTGATGGATCTGCCAAAATATCTGTGCATACAAAAGAAAAAGGATATCAATCACTGAAGCAGCCAGGATAGCTCAGTCAGCACAGCGACTGGCTACGTGCTGGATGACCAAGGACTCGGAATTCAACTCCCAGAAGGGTCAAGAATTTTCTTTTCTCCACATTATCCAGACCAGCTCTGGAGCCCACCCAGCCTCCTATCCAATGGGTACTGGGGGGGGGGGGTTCTTCCCCGGGGATAAAGCGGCCAGGGCGTGAAGCTGACCAATCACCTCCAACTAGTGCCAAGATCAAGAAAATATGGATCTATACATCCACTCCTCCATACGCCTTCATGGCACAATGCTTGATTAGTTAAGAACAGGTACAACTTTACCTTATGTTTCTTATATTGCTTTTATAATTGTGTTCATGCATGGATGATTATTATATTAATATATCTCATATCTTACAATTATGATTTTTTATAAAAATCATGAACTAAAATATGGCCAATTGAACGGCAGCTAATTCCTAAATGAATACAGATCTGTGAACACTCTCAATTTTCATTTGAGGATTTTGAATTTCAATAAAATACTTATAGAGCATCTGAGGTTCTCACAGCAGCAACTATGAAAATCAGCATCTTCTAGGCCGTAACGCTGTGTAGGGCAGAGGAACACAGTGTCTCCATATTCAGGGTTGAACAGTAAGCCAACCAAGAAACCAGCAAGAAGCAGGCCTGGCTTACTCTTCAACCTTGGAGATAGAGAAGATAAATTTTTCTCTGAAATGTTGGGTTCTTCTGGACTACACAAGAGTTAAAACCCAGAAGTGTATACCCTTCAAACAGTTATTTATTTTGTGCAACCTTTCAAAACTCAAATGACATAGCCCTATGGGAGAACCCAGAACATGAAAGTTTAGCAAGTCAAGAGGAGCTGGCATGAAATTGAAAATGAAAGGTTACGGGATGGAGGAGGAGGAAGCAAAATTGCGGTTCATCAACCCATACAAAGGAGAAGTGATGCCATAACATGAAGAGAATATTGCTACACTTTGCGTAGGCATCTCAACAGTTGCACGGCTCCTAAAGAAAAAAATTCTGTCTTTTACGGAACCCAAAGATTCGTTATTGTATTCACAAGAATGTGCAGGTTAATTACACTTTTACATAACAGAATGTTGAAGTCAAGAGGTAAGCACTCCAGCGTCATTTGACCGACTGCTAAATTGCTGCTGGCCCTCATCAGCATTCAGCATGAGATGTCACGGTGACAAATCTGCCAAAAACAATAGAAGGTTCAAGTTCATTTAGAATTCAGTGAATTACCTTGGCTCCTGTCCCTACTTGGGCTGTGTGTCTTGGTTTGTTGTATGGTGGAAGCAGGTCCATTTGTAACAGGGTTACCAGCCAGAACAAAATCACGCTGTGAACGCCGCCAATGTTCTTTTATGACAACAGTGTCATCTTCTCGAAAAGTGTAGAAATTACGGTCACCGACTTGTAACGTGCATGGCTCAAATACGTTCAGCAAACGGAGCCTGTAGCAAGAATCATTAAAGTTGTTTATTTTGAGCTAAAAAGATGATAAGTCAATGGGGGCTCTTTGGTTCTAATTCACTATTACTCTCTATCAGCTGTTGTTCATCACATTACTATAACAGTGCCTGGCCACAGTCCAGCTCGAAAAGCACTGCATTTTTTAAATACTAGTACTGTTATTTCGGCAAGTCAAAATATGGTCACCTGCCTTGCAGAATCGGGAGATACAGGATTCTACTGAAAAGAATACTATTCTGTTGGATGTGACATTACAGTCTGGCAGAATTCAACAATTCAGAGGAACATAGCGCCTCCATCTTCAGGGTCAAAGAGTAAGCCAAGCCAAAGGACAGTGAGCAGAGTAATCTGTGTTCTGCTTCCTACTCGCTTCTTGTTTGGCTTACACTTTAATCCTGAAGATGGAGGTGGAATACTCCTTTGAAACATCAGTGAACTTCTGCCAGACTTTTATCACATCACATTCCATAATGTAGTATTCATCATAGTCACTCACCACCGTCAGAACCTCAAACCTAACAAAGAATTATATTTCTGGGTGACAAAAGTTAATTTACAGAATTCTTGATTCCAATGATTTAAGTGCACTTTTAAAAGTGCATGAGTTCAGAAACACAGCCACTGCTTTGGACATTCTTATAAATATCACACCTATAAAACATTATGCACATAAAAGGCTCATACATATATTTCACATTTCACAAGTCCAAAATACAATGAACATGAAACTTATAGTAGGGCAAAATTCCTATTAAAGGTTTCTTGGGAGAGCACTATATTCGTATATTAAACTGAAAAAAATATTACATTTTTTAGACATTTAACATTAACATTACTGACTTGGGATCATTAAAATTAATTGTGCCACTTGAAACACACCTTTTAAGGTCATCTCCCTGCACTAGAAATTTCGGCTGTTCTTTTTCAGCACCAGCGCCATCTTTTGAGTAGGCTCGGCACTGCCAGTGCACTCCAACAGAATCAGTCTGCACTTCCTCCACCATCACTTTGATAATTTTGTTGGCTTTGGCTCGCTGGGCCTTCAGCTCTTTGGTGCAATGAATCCACTCTGCTTCTTCCAGACAATGTAATGGGCCCCATAGAGTCTGCCCTGGGTAGAAATCATCACGGTTGCTTCGGAATTCACATTCCTAAAACATAAAATCGAGTCCACACATTTACTTCACATTCAAAATGCGCCAATGGACTACATGAGAATAAGAACATAAATTCATAGACAATATTATAAAACAAATCAACGAAAATATCCACAGCGGCAAGAGAAGATGGCTGAATTAAAATCAGATAAGCAACAAATAATTTAAATGAAATGTGAATTTCATAATATCTTTGGATGTTTTCTGTTAGGTCTGTGATAGGAAACAGAGAAACAGCAAATGATAGGAATGTTACATTTGTACATATTGTAATATTATTAACATTTTAGCTGATATCACAGCTAGATACAGTTTTCCTAATGGCTAAATGAGACAGTTTTTGGTTCAGAAAAGAGCATTTTGCAAAATGTTTACTTACACAATCTCTCTTCTCATTAAAATCCTCCATGAAACTTGCTTCAATATCATTAATAATGCAGCGAGAGCCATCAGAGCACTGGATTAGCAGCTTAGAATGAACAGTCTTAATGCCACCAACCCATGAATCCAGGCATGCAGCTATATCAGCTGCAAATTCCTGTAATAAAGTAATATTGCATGGATTGTGTTTCTTTTTTGGACTCTGAGTTCAAGTACAATATTAACAATTTTATTTGCGCTTGAACTCACCTCTAATGGTGTAAGGTTTTCACTTTTTACACTGGGAATTACTTGTTTGGTCCCAACAACTTGTACACAGGCTGTCACCTTTATGTCTCTGCAATAACCACGCTGTGTATCTTTCCCTTTTATCATGCGTCTAACAACATCTCCTGGCATCAGTGACCTGTCAGCTAGATGCACCTAGAAAGATGGAGAAGGAAACCCAATAAAAATGTCCTGGTTCAGTATCATGATTTCCATTTGTCATGATTTACACAACTAATATCCTGTAAAATTTACGTTAACTAACAAGCATATATATATATATATATATACAGTCCTTACAAAAACTCCTCAAGATCTATCTCTCTCTGACTCAACTAGCTCCAGCTAATCAAGAAACTCACCATTCTTTATACAACCCAGAAGTTCACGATTCATTATCCTGCAGACAAGATCCTATCAATGGGTCCTACTGAACCAGATAAATTGAGCACACACCCAACTTTTAAAGAACCACTTCTACATCCTAATCCCATCAATGTCTGGGTGTCCCCCATGGTCTCTTCTAAATAACAATTTACATGAATTTCTTATCTCTCCCATGTGTCACATGTCCATTCCAGGTCATTCTCCTTGATTTGATCATCCTAATATTTGATGAAGGGTACAGAAATTCCTTCTAGCACCTATGGACCGTTAATCAAAATTAGATTAGCACTTTACACTTCTGACATGTATAGTTCCTTAATAAATATACTTTCATTCTTCATGTACGATTATTTCGAATGTGTGTGACTAAACATTTATTTTATTCTGCATTAAACAAATACCTTTCGTTCTGGAATGATTTCTTCCACTCCTGTAGGATGCCATGCCACACGAATGTGTCCCTTCCTCATCCTGCCCCCTTCTTCAACGTCTGAATTTTCGTCACTACTAACAAGCTCGGAATTTTCCAGCACCATTCCAAATTCAATGTTACCCTTCTTATTAATTCTGTACACTTCATCTTCATAAAAGTACTGATGTTCCGCAGCCATGATGACCGGAGCCAACTGACAGGAAGCTATCAAAGCATAGTCTGAAAATCGGCATACGAGTTTTATATGCTATACAACGACATATTATTTTTGTGAACTATCATGATAATACACATTCTACAATAATTACTGATAACTGAGTTCCAAAATGTAAAAATGTTAATTTAATAATTTAATAATGATAAGGAACCTGTTTGCCCCATGTAGCCAATCACCGAAACCATCGAAACATCCTCCTAATTTTACCGCTAGACCACAACGTGTACGAATTTCCACTCAAATGAACTGTTCGGAATTGAATGTAAGGTGTAATAGATTACAGAATTCAATAATTAAAAACAATTGTTCGGCATAATAAAACGTAACGTCTGTATTTTATATTCTTCCTTACACTAATTTATTACAATTAATACGTATGTTAACGAAATTGATAATTCCAATTAGACTAATCAATGCACCTAAATTCAAGGATAAACATTCCGAGTATTTTGACTTCTACGGTACAAATATTACTGTCCCTGAGAGCGACAACGAGCACAACGTTCCATAAATATAAATTAATATCGATATATTAAATTCATGGGGCGAATACAACTAGACCAGGAGTGCCAAACTATGAATCTTTCAAACCCCACAAATCAATGCAGGGGTGACCAAAGGACGGTTCACGTAACATTGTGGATCTTTGCGAAATTCATTTAGTACCAACATAACAGTCCTCTATAAGTTTCCCTCTTTCTTTCACATTTAAAACTATTAATTTCTGAAATAAAATATCTATAAACTCACGTGTTGATTCTAATTCCAAGTTTTCAGGGTACCTACATTTAGAACTGGGTGAAGGTCAGCTGGAACACCAAATTTGTTTCACTGAGAAATCCGCGACCATCACTTCCTAATTCATTATTCACCATCATCTGTTTATCTAGCAACACACAGTTTATTGCTGACATACATCAAATTACAAATAAAGAAAAGTAAATTTGTGTTTGCACAATTTATACAACACATAGGTGTAATGGGAAATGGAGGTGTGAGTATCTCACTCTTGACATGTCAGCCAGTTTCACGCTCCATCCAAGCCAGCATGGACTGCTTGACACTCACTAAATAGTATATGACAGGAATTCATTGTACATAAAAATGAATTATTGTGACATGTCTGCTGAAAGATGGAATAATTTAAACAGGGAAGCAACATCCATTGATAGATAACAGTATGCCAAATATGCAATGGTGCTATTGAGCGAACAGGCCCTTTGTTACACAATGGGTCAGCAGTCATCACATTAACAACCAACTGAGCTAAGCAGTGTAGAAAAGACAGCCAATCAGTTGAGAACTGCAGTAACTGAGGCCTGGTTAGTTCAGGAAGCCAGGCAAAGGGGAATGTCTAGTGCTGGAAGCCACTACCAAGCAGTGCACTGAAGACCATGACTGTGAACACCCTTCTGTGTGATGTGTAAAGTGTAGTCACGAGTTGTGTGTTAAAGTATCCAATAAATCTGATTACCAATCCAAACTCCATCTACAGTGACACCATCACATGACATTATAACGATATGAAATTTACATGAATTCAGTGCACATGAGGGAAATTTATAATCTTCCATACTTTTGATTCCAACCTCCAGCATTTACATCAACTACAATTAGTTGTTTTGCTTCATCCCAAATCCTTGAACCTCTAAAGCATCAAAAGTGAACATTTCTCTCAAAGCTCTGCGATACCAACTCTGTATGGGCAGTTGTGGAGTCCTGTTTGCAGAACACACTAGATTTCTTCATCTGCCAGTAACTAATAATGAGTGGAGTATCTGCTCCATGTACTTTTCAGAATTATTCATGTCCTCAAAAGAAATCTGTCCAATTATTCTACCTGTATTCACATTATGCTTTGCATAAATTGTACTGTCATACAGCTGATCATGGGTTGGGTGAGTTACACATCTGCTTCTCTACGGAGAAAGGGAAACATCACCATCACGAACGCACTTGGGAACTATTTGTAATAATTCAATCTGCCAATGTGACAATGTGGTTACAATTTCTGCAGTACTGTCTGTCATTCTGAATGTTTTCAATCTGCACTTTATCCCAGAATAATCATGAAAACAGAAATGTTTGCAGTGCTGTCGGCAAGTTAGGAAATATATGCAGAGTCCAACAGTTCTGGAACATTCTTCCTCAGATTATTTTGAACCCTACAAGGCACACGGAAAAAGTTTGTTATGCATAAAACATGTCTGCTGCAAACATTTTTTCTCTGATAATATCTTGAGTTATGCCACAACAACAACAACAACTAAATTTTACTTTTAAAAGTCTTTCAATTAAACCATCAGAACACTTTGGAATATGGGAAACAGAAAATCCATGTGTCTGCACACACACATGAAAGCAGATTTTTCACAGTGCACCGGCTGGTTGAACTGGGTTCCACTGCTTGGTTCTCTGTCACTTAATTTGAAAACAGCAGAGATTTTCCTGCACACCCTACCTACATCAAGTATCACATGAGCCCCCTACACGCTGTGGGCAAGGGTTGTTCCACCTGTTTTTGAAGTCACAATAAAACAGTCTACACTGTGTGAAGACACTCCATAAAACCTTGTGAAACTGTCTAATCAAACAGCTCTTTCTTGCATGTTTGCATCTGTTTACTTCTGAAACATTCAACTTCATTTAGAAAGACCCAACTCAAAATAACTGAACACACTATAGGATCTGAGGCTCCCACAGTGGTTATCTTCTGGGATATAATGCCTTGTACTCTCTGCAAGTCAGCTGACATGCCAGAGATGGTATACTGCTCAGCGTATTCAACCCTGAATATGGAGGTGATATGTCCCTCTAAAACTTGAGTTGAGTACGCAGTGTCATATCCCAGATGATAGGTCTCTTCAACCGAATACTGGTCTCATAAGACATGGCATAAGCAGATTAAATGCTGAAGTTTCAACAGACAATTTTTTAACTACAGACCATATGTTCTGAAATGTTGGAATGACCTTCAATCATTGTTTAAAGAAAAGTCTGTCTTTACCTTCTGCTTGAAAGTAAAAGGGATGTAAAATATTATTCAGCGCTGTTTGGTTCCTGCATAAACCTTTTTTTATACATGCTACAAAATCATAAAAATATATATACACTATATGGCTTACTAAATAATGCATGGGGCAAAGTCCTCTAAAAAGGCCAAACAGTCATTCAGCTGGTAAAGATATTTCATTTATGGTACTGGAAGGTTCACTGCTGTGTTCACAGGAGCCTGCCACTGTAAGTGATCTTAAGCCAAATGAATATGATCCATATCCTTACACTGTTGTTCAAACATTTATTTTAATATTACCCCTGAATTTGTGCTAAAGTCTTCCAAGTGGTCCCTTCTGTTCAGGATTTCTCATTTTTCTTGTTATGACTACCCTACTTCCTGCCCAGCTCACTCTTCTTGAAATAATCACTCTTAACCTTTATCGTACTAATTATTTAGTGGATGGTAAAAGTTCAAACTATGATTGTCCTGATTATATCATTTTCTCCGTCCTGTTATCGAATTTTCTCTTCTCCACATTGTCCAGACCAGCTCTGGAGTCCACCCAACCTCTTATCCAAGGGGTACTGGCTCTTTCCTTGTGTGTGGGTGTGTGTGTTAAAGTGGCCAGGGTGTGAAGCTGACCACTCACCTCGAGCTACTGCCGAGGTCAAGAAAATGTGGGTATATACATCCATCCCTACCCCCCTTATGCCCTCATGATGGAGTGCTTAATTACTTAATTAAACACAGGGACAACTTTACCTTTACTGTTCATTCAGTCCTTTCTCTCATTAATTAAAACAAAAAATGAACACACTCTGAACCTAACAAGTTCACCATCATCACACTGTGGACAATAATCTTGGCAAACAGAGTCAGTACTGAAAACAAGCTATTTCTGGCTTACAAAAGCAAGTATTTACAAGGTACTGAGAGATTTATTTATACAACAGAATTTTTACATTAAGTTTAAAATAATTTTATTTTCCAAATACACCTGCCATGGCACAACATATCATGTGTTCAGAATGCTTATCCATCAAGTTTAACTGGTGAATATGTCCTGTAGGGTGACACCCTGTAGTCTGGGGGATTACTAAGTGGCTTCTACTCTTCTTGCTCCAAAATGTCGGTAGCCACCTACCAGACTTACAGCATCACAATCCACAAGACTAAACAGCTGCAAACCTAAAATTTTTAATGGATACTAATTTCTCTGTGCCCATGTGTAAGTCAAGGGAAGCATATGGGGGAATGCAGTGCATTCTTAACCTTGGCACCATATGACACTGAGCAGTTAGCTGCACCCCCTGGTTGCTTCATCTCAAGGGAAACAGCCCCTGGTATCCATTGTATTCGATGCTGGGTATCCCAAAACATGTCTGGTTGCCATGGAGAAAAGAATGATCTCTTGCCCTCTCTAGAAATTAAATCCTGATTCCTTGGACACTGAGGCTGTAGCCTATTCAACATACCAACTGAGCTACCATAGCACCATGTGCATGTTTATTCTAAACATGCAGCACATTATGTAGAGCAGTTCTCTTCACTTGCACCCGTGAATATTGGTACTACAACCAAAATAGTCAGTGATTAACTACTAGCATTGTGGAACCTAAAAAGATTCTGAGCACTGCTGGCACTGAATTCAGTAGAAGTGCTGAATAATGACGAAGAACAGCATAACCATACTTCAACATTTACTTTTCCAGTCCAAGAATTTGGAATGCAACACTGCTATGGAATTCAACTGATGCAGAAACAAACTGGTACTACTAACTTTTTCAGTTTCTTTATGCGTATGAAATATGAAAACTGTATTTCCTTTCACATTCTGCATTCACTGGGGCATGCAGTAGCTTAGTTGGTTGAGGTGCTATGCTACAAGCCAGCAGGTGCAGGTTCAATTTCCAATGAGGTCATGGATTTTTCAGTTGACCTGATCCTTCCAGCCACGCTATGGCCCTGGGGTTGACTCAGCCTCTAACAGAAATGAGTACAAGGAAACTTCCTGGGGGTAAAGTGCAGCTGGCAAGCTCGTAAGGCTGACTTCACTGCCATTTGTGAGCCAAATGTCTAGAAAATGTTGAAGCCTCGACATCTCACAATCTTACGGGCCTCCATGGCCTGTCACAGGGATAGCTTTATCTTTTTATGTTTTTGCATGAAAATTTGTATGATGATACCTTTATCTGCATTTGTCATGGGATCACACAGCCATTTTCAGAACTGAAAGATAGAACATACTCAAAACTCAACTTCCTTACTTTGCAACCAGACAAGTCTGGGATGAAAACCCCAACTTTCAGACTGACAGATTATGATGTGGTATGTGCTGTCTGGTAAGGGCTATTGTACACCTCAGGAGGTTGCAACAGATGGGTATGGAGCAATTGTGACAGCAATGGCAATCCTGGGCAAAACCTGCCGCAGTGCCATCTGACCCGGGACTCAGTGGAGCAAAGCAAGCACCCGACTACTTGTACCTTACCTATGGCATGGACTAGAAATATAGTGCTGGAATATTTGGGCAATAAAACACCAAAGAAGTGGAAAAAAAAAGAAAGAAAAAAAGAACACACATACCAAAGATTTTGACTCAGTGTAACTAAGCCATGGGCATCCCACAATGGTCGAATTGTATCAATGGGATTTCTAGCAGCAGTAATTCTCAAAATGACAGTCAAATGGGGAGCAGAGAGCCATATTTTGCACTGCAAACATCTAGTTTAGTCTATGCACCTTATTCTGAAACACCGTGGTAGGTAGGAGCAGGCATGTGTGCGTGCAGGTTGGAGGGAGGGGAGACAGCAAAATTTCCAGAACGAGAACACGCTGAAACACACAGAGCCAAGAAAACCTTAGACACAATTTCTTTTGAAAGTACTATCTGAATTTAGAACGTTTTCAAAGTCCTTCTCACAATTTCCTTTGTTACGATTGCCAAGATACTTAATTTCTTCAGTACCAATTGCGTTATTATATACTTCATTGGAAATAGGGCCTTCCTATCATAAAGAAACTATTTTCCCCCATAAAGAAATTATTTCAGTCTTATGCATAAAATCTTACATGATAAAGTCCTCGGCTGTTTTTTGTTAAGTTATATTATTGCTGGTGGGGTGGGACTAAGTCCCTTGTACTGCGGCCACTTCTGGCCTATTGTACCAGTGTTAAGTTATATAGCATGTGAGCTAATCCATTTCACTGGATAAAAAATAGCACTAAATACATAAACCAAATCAATAAAGAGACGGAAAAAGGTGTGGGCTAATGGAAAGTAGACTATGATACACAGTGGCATAAATTATGACCTGTTTTATCTTTGTCATGTTTCATGGAAAGGGGTGCTATAATACTACTGTTATTTTATTAACCAGGTTTATATAATAACAAGATGACTGACTTCTCACTTTCACCAATCAATTGATTTCCAGAAAGAAAAAACAAATTCTTTCAGGGCATGGTAAAGTTTAAAAGCTATTTGTTATTTATTTACATTTACTCGCAACTGACAACACTTCCATTCACACCATCCTGGCACGACAGCAAAAATATTATGAAAAAAAAAATCCTTAAATTACAAAATTCGAGCTAAGTACTCTTGATTCGTTAATATTACATGTACTAAGTATTCCAGGCTCTTAGAAATGAAGTAGAAAATGAAGGCATGTATGGGTTAATATAATCAATACATTTTTCAAGCATTTTAACCGATCACCAGTTTTAAAACATTCACAACAAACTGTACAAATTACAAATTGGTCTCTCTCTTGCACCATTTAGAAAAATGTGAGTTAGTTTTCAAAGTAACATTCTTATTCAAATATAATCATAATCAATATTAATTGCAGTTATGAAAAAGACCCCTTATTACAACAATAAGGCATTTTGTGGTCAGGAGCCAACAAAATCTTCTCGTCCATTTCCATCCATTCTTCTACATCCGTATTCCAAAAGAATATGATGAACCAGTACCCATTACAACACCACCACTGGACTCATCAGACGCAGTGTACTTTTAAGTGTTAGTAGATATGCAAAATTTCTCCATTTAAACCAAACTTTTTAACATTGTTTCCATTGTAAACAAGTATTTTGGAATGAGCAATTTTACTTTTTTTTTTCCTTTCTTTCACACACAAGCAAGGGGAATGTGCTTTGTTCTCACAAATTTTCTTAAGAGAACGAATCTTGTTAAAATACACTACTATTCAGGCATACATCACTACTAAATCACAGAGTTAAACAGAATAATTACTGTACTTAAGCTCTTTCATGATTACAGTCCACCAAAACGCAAGATTTCAACAGACATAAAACAAGCACTGACCTCTTGCTGGCACAGAACACACTGCCTGAAATTTCATTTCAAAGCAGTTGTACCACAGATGTATGTACAGAAACGTCCTTGGTAATTCATTTTTAAACTTGCATATTATGGTAACATTTGTGTTACAACTGCAAGTACAAAACAATGTTCATGGACTAAAAGGAGGACCAATAATATGGTTTAATTGTGATAAATGTGAAGGCAAAGAAACGTTAACTTAAAACAAGCAGTTTCTCTAGCCAGCTGCAGCTTGGGTTTACTGCTCAGAAATACCAAATACAGGCACGTTTTTTAAACAGGTCACTTTTAAATTGGGGGGGGGGGAGAAAAAGAAAGAAAGACTATATGGACTAATGTTCACAGATCGAATGACTTCTGCATACATTTACTAATGACAGATGCACAATGACATATAATGTTTTAAAAACAGTCCTAGCAGCTTGGCACGTGGGGGATCAGTGAGCCCTCCGAGTTATTCTAATTAAAAAAAAGTTATAACTGTTAACTGAAATATATTCAGTGTATATGTAAACAACAATACAAAGTGACCTTCATTCTTTACCTTAACATTTATCACATTCCTGGAGCATAGTGAGTTCTCCTCTAAGCAGGGATTGCATTCTATAAACATGTTTCATCTCGTCTCCACCCCGGCTTCTCTATAGAACTTCTCTCTCATACTGGAACCTCCGTACAAAACAGACACGTCACTGCATGCTTTATAAGTTGGAAGACATGGTAGCTGACGATACGTGTCTAGTTTGGTGCCTCCTCTCCATCCACAGAGTCGTCCTGAATAGACGAATCATCACCACTGCCTGTTGGGAGGGAACCCCGTTTCGTTCCTGTCAGCCGTGGAAGCCCAATGCCTGTTCCTGCCCCACCACGCCTGAACAACAAGAATGTCCAAATTTAATGTCAGCCTATAAAACTTCACTTCAGGTTGAGCAGAAACCAAATCTCTTAAACAAAGCATTTTCACAACAAAAGTTCAGTCAATATCAACTGTTAATTGCTGGTTAAATATTTTCATAAATTGCTAAGACTGAAAACCTCTTAAACAGAAAATGAAGAAAAGAGCAATGTTCTGAAGTGTAGAAACTTGAGACATGGGCAAAAAATGAACTACAGAACATGACACTGGAAACAATCACAATGAAAGGCACTGGTAATTGAATGAAATGGCTGATATTGAATAACTTGTTCCTTTCCTTTAGTCATTAACAAACGAAGATGCAAGAACAATAATTCCACATGAATGTCTCAAACCCAGGGCTGGAAATGGGAACAGACAAAAGCAGACACCATCTACTAAGTGCCAGCACATCTTATTTTGAAGAAGCTATTTCCAGTGGGTCACAACATAACTACTATTCCAAACAACACATGTAGGAGCATATTCATGAGCTACTTGGTAATAATTTCCTTTCAGTATGTGCTGGCCAAACCACCTACCCCGAGATTTTCTACTGATCTAGAGTGTCTACCTAGTTCTGAAAAGCCATTTCCACCCCTGCTCAAAACAGTGTAGGCAATAATGAACACAGTGACAAATTAGAGATATTCTTGCCTGTCATGTAAATATTATATTCATGATATCTGAACAGGATCCACTCTGGTATCAGGCTGCAGGCTGTATGAGTGATTATGATTATGCTGGTATCACAAAAGGGAAACCAGGTGCAGAACAATGTCAGTTTTATTACAGGTGTTCAAACTAATGCCAGCCCACAGAACTCTCAAATGCGAGGCAGGACAAGATGTGGCTGGGATCGAAACAACTGTGGAATTTGAGAGAGAAGGACATGCTATGAATCGCGTATTTATGGAAAACTGAACCATTCATATTGTGGTCTTCTGGGATATGACACAATGTAGGATGTTGTGTTTCAGAGACACATGCTGCCTCCATCCTCAGGGCAGCAGGTTGTGCTGAAATGATAACCTTCATCAAAACTTCAAATCTTATAGAAACATTAAGCAGCTCGATGGATCTACATCAAGGAGGTAAAACGTATTTGCATATGCCCATCAAATTTGAATAGTCTTGTATATCTGAAGTTACTCTTGTGTACTCAGGTAAGAGAAAAGGCAAAGTTGCCTCTGTGCTTCATTAGTTGAGCACTATGCCATGAAGACTTACAGGGGAGTGGAAATACAGCTCCACCATTTTTGACCTTGGCATTAGATGGAGGTGAGTGGTCAGCTTCATGCTCTGACTGTCCCCCCCCCAAGGGGAAGAGCCCCTGGTACCCACTGTATAGGAGACTAAGTGAGAGACATCTGCCAGGTTTATAAGACACTGACCGTACACAGCAAGTCACTCATAGAGCAGCCATTACTTAGAGGTAATGCATGAAGCACTGCCATCTACTGTGCGCAGAACAAAACAGTTAACATATAAACACATCACACCATCAAAGAGCAACTTCTATACAGCTCAACAAGTGAAATACATTACAAAGACATACAGATTTTGTTTAATTTTTCCTACTGTGGACCTAACAGAGAAAAACAAAGATATTATGCTGAATCCTAACTCCCAATCAGTTTCTTTAATTATAAGAGTGAACTTCAGTTTGTTACTCAAGTTCCAGTTACTGTATGTTGTGTTAATGACCAGGCCTGAAACCATATCCTGGGCAAAGTACAGACACCCCTGACTGTCATATAAAAATCAATAATTAAATTCACCCAACTTGACACTTCTGGTCTGACTACACATGCTAGTATGTTCAGAGGGACACATTCCACCATCAAGCATGAGTTTCATATATGTACAGTGGCAGCAGCATGTAGAGTCTGACTTCAAGGAAAGAAGGGGAAGGGGGAGTGGCAGAGATCATATGATTATACAGGAACAAGGTTCAATGCCATGCAACACACGACGTACATTCTTTACCTTTTGCTCAGTTTGTAAATTGCAAGATTGGAGATAATTACACTTGGTAGTTGATACAGTATGTGTGAAATAAAAAGGGGAACAGGCTACTGATGTTCTGGTCAATGAAATGTCACTGACGACTTAACTTCCTCTGAGGTGGATTAGATGGACGTTCCTCACTGCATTGCCATAAAAGAAAGTAAACATAACTGTCTTTGTAGACAAGAAATTTTGTAACATAATACACAATTAAAATAAATGTCCCAAGCAAATCACATACTGTTACATATAAAAATGAGCATAATTCATATTTGACATCAAACACCATTAAAAAAAAGCATGTATATATATATATATATGAACACTGGAAAATATCAAGTACATACAGTTCTTTTATGACTGTATGTATACCCAAAAGAGCACACTTGACCAGGATGGCAACCAGGCACCTCCAAAATACAAGACAGAAGCAATATCACTCTGCCAACTTGCCTGGTATGTCAGTATGACACAACATTTAAGTATGTACTTGGACTTCATACATATTCCATGTTTCTCCCAAAATAAAAACTATTTTAACGTTCTGGAAATGGGTTATATATTTTGGTCAATGTCCCATGTTGTGACTATGACATCTGCGAGAAATAATTCCACAGAGTGACCCTCCCAACACACCTCTCTCTAGCTACGTTTCCCCCTTTCAGCTGCATTGCCATTCTCGTCATACCAATACTGGTTTGTAATGACAAGATTCTCAACAAGTGCTTTGGGCCGGTCAGTACAGCCCAGCCCAGACAGGAACATAAGTGGCATACACACCAGGTAGCCGGCGAGTGCGGTCACAACTCACCTGAGTTTGTTTTTGAGGTTGGTCAGTTCTCTTGACATGGCCTCGTGTGACTCCATCATGTCCTCCATGTCCCTCTGCGCTTTCCGCTTCTGTGCCTTCTCACGACTTATTTCTTCCTCTGCCTCATCCAGCTGCCTCTTCAGCCCCTTCACTCTCATGTTGACCTACAAAAATGCACGGTCAACATGAACTGACGTACATATCTGCATCCTCACTCTTCCGGCTGGGGAAGCAGCTTTTGACATAATTAAAATTGGAATCCAAACAAACACACATTTCCCAGTGTCTATATTGAATATTATCTTTAATTATGCATGCTGCAACCCTTTCATCAGACAGATAACAATGAGATTACTGTATTATTTTCTCATATTTAGTCAATTCAAATTTCATAAATAGCCTACATTTAGTGTAAGAAATTTTCAACCTTCCAGATTTTACAACAAAACTGCCATTCTTGGTAACCTTACACGCTGCACACCAAAACCGCACTACGTGTGGCATCATGGTTACGCTGATTCTTGACTGGTGTTTCAGTCATTACTTTAGAAATTAATTTTATATTACTAATTAATGTAACTGCATTTCTGTGTTGAAACAATTTTGACTACTTTCTCTCTCTCACACAAATGCACGCACACCCACACTGTTACGCAAAGAAAAACTGTCTCCTGTTTTAAACTTGCATTAACCCTCATTCTTCTAATAAAAATCTGGGCAAATACAGGCAGAAAGAACTGACAAGGAAAACCACCTAGAATTCATGACTTCAAGATCAATTTAAAATAAAAACGCCATTATACAATTCTAAATTGCAATGCCTAAACTCCAAAACAGAAGCCCCAATACAAGTACATGCATACCTTCTCCACCTGTTCCTTGTACTGGTCAGCGTGCCTCCGTTCATCTTCCAGCTGCATCACCAGTTCCTTCAGTTTCTTTTCTTGCTTGCGGTTCGTCTTCTGCTGCGCAAATCGCTCCCTGAAACAATGAACAGTTTCTTTGTGACCCCAAATAAAGAACATGAAATATATTTTCTAAATATGTGTTCTACATACTTACAGCATAGAGGCAATTACATAATTAAGAGGTTCATTGTTTTAAATGCACTCTTCACCACATTTCTTAGATCAATGAAGCTGAGAATGAGATTGGTGGCAAGTTATTAGTATGTGAGATGGAACAATTCACATTTTGAGATATTCCATATTGAAACCTCTGCCCGGAGACAGACTATCCTGTTTGATCTTTCTTATCCATTCCCTCAATGCCCCAAATTGTGTTAAAACTGTGCCACTCCTCAACCCTCTCAGTTCAGTATTCAGTGACTGCACTGTCGTCAGACAGTACGTACTTACTTACTTACGGAGCTGAGCGCTTCTTGAGAAGCCAAATCTGCAGCCACTCAAGAATTTCCCAGCATTTTATGTAATGTGAAGGTTTATTACCGTGCTCACAAGAGCCCTCCACTGGTCCATATCCTGAGCCAGATCAATCCAATCCATACCATCTCATCTTATCTTGCTAAGATCCATTTTAATATTGTCCATCCACCTAGGTCTTGGTCTTCCCAGTGGTCTCTTTCCTTCTGGCTTTCCCCACTAATATCCTATATGCATTCCTCTTCTTCCCCATTCATGCTACATGCCCTTCCCACCTCATCCTCATTCTAATTATACCTGGAGAAGAGTACAAGTTATGAAGCTGCTCATTATGCAGTTTTCTCCAACCTCCTGTGACTTCATCTCTCCTCAGCACCCTGTTCTCAAAGAGGGTGTCTTTAGACAGTAGGTATATTTCTTATTGTCTGAGCTACTGCCGTGAGAACATGGACTGGATTCAGCGGAAGACTCTTGTGACATGGTAATGAACCTACAGGCTTCATAAACCAGAGATGAGTTACCGGATCAGTTCAGTGACTTTTGAATCTTGAAGGAGTCCGCTCCTAGGACTGAATGAATGAGCTACATTTTGTTACTCACACAACCCGCCACTTATGCTGAGAATGGTCCTAAATTAAAATTGAAGGATTTAAAGAGATCACACAACACGATTTCAGAATCCTACATGGGCCTAATCCTTTTCAGGCACTTACATCTGTGAAACTGTGGCCTTGATTGTGCTGAAATCTTCATACCTGAATTAAAATTTAAGGAATGAGATCTACGGCACAACCTAAAACATGATGCTCTCTCCTGATACTGCTTATATATGGAAGCGAAAAAAGAACAGGCAAGAAATTGAAAATGGAAAAATTGTGCAAAGTAAGAAAAGACTGAAGACCTTCTATCAGAAAACAGAAATTATGCCAAAAGATGAGGTGCAGGATATGTACGTACAGGCTATGATTACAGGCTGATCCCATGTGGCATGACCTTTACACAACAGTTCAAACGAGTTCTTCCCTTGCTTGAAGAGATGTGAATGAATGACACACAGCAGAAATTTTGAATTCTGATTGGGGGGGGGGCAAGAGAGAGAGAGAATAGCACTTACTTGGCTTCTGCTTCCAGCTGTTCTTCCAAATTATTGATCTTACTCTCCAGTGTGGCAATGGTGGCCTTGGTCTTGGTCCTCTGAGCAGTCTCCAGTTCTACCAACTTCGCCTTCAAGTCCTTGTTCTGCCTTTCGAGCAGCATTCTCCCTGTCTCCAGTTTCTGTGTAGTTGATCGTTCTGCCGCCAAATCTATAAATTATCCAGCAACACAACAAAACTATAAATCCTTCTTCATTCCAATCAACCTCTTCTCACAGCAAAGGGAAGTTATAAAAGAATGTATTTTGTGCAAAAATGCACAGCATGCAAAAAATGTTTGTCTTCTTTGGTGTTCTGCAAAAACCCTATTCATAACCTGCATGTGTTTTCTGACTCAAGTTCACGCATCAATGTTGCCAAAACCAATTGCCCAAAATTTTGTGGAACACAGATGTTGTTCAGGACTGGCTGGCTTTTGATATACGATGGGGTACCCAAAAGAAACCGAACTAATTTTTTTGTGGGCAGAGCTTTTGTAGTACTGCGTTTTGCCACTATGAGCGCATAGAGCTAACATTCCTGAGTCGATAAGCCGACTACCGTTGCTTCAGAAGGTAAGGACTAGTTTCGGCAAAGTTTATAGTGACAACTGTTTTGTGTGATTGTCATTTTTGCAATGGCTGATTTTCGTGAACAGTGTGCGGCGGTGAAATTCTGCTTTTTGCTTGGGAAAAGTGGAACAGAAACTCTTGAAATGTTAAAAACGGCGTACAAGGACGATGCTATGGGGAAAACTCAAGTGTTTGAGTGGTTTTCCCGTTTCAAAAATGGTGAAATGTCAATTGATGACAAACCTCGTTCTGGTCGTCCTTCCACGGCCCGAACACATGAAAATGTTGAAAAAA